ACAGTGCAATATCAATTAAAATTGTTGCAATAAATTTTAAAGGATATCATTAATAGTGTAATGTCAATTAAAATTATTGTGATAAACTTTGAAAGATATTATTAATAATACAATATCAATTAAAGTTGCTGTAATAAACTTTGAAAGATATCATTGATAATACAATGTCAATTAAAAATCGCAATAATATAAATGCAAGTGATGACCATCGAAATGATATATTATAAATATATAACATAAATGAAAGTTATTGATACTAAATTACTATAAAAATGATAATATTTGCAAAATTTTATATATGAAGGTATCAAATCAATAACCTTCAAAAGTTATTGATACAAATTTACTACGAAAATGATAATATTTATAAAATTTCACATATGAAAATATCAAAATTGATAATCTTTGAAAGTTATCAATATGAATTTACTATGAAAACAATAATATTCACAAAATTTTGTCATGTGAAAATATCAAAATCAATAATCTTCAAAAGTTAGTGAAGACCTTCAAAGGATAATATATCGAAAAACAGTAAAATACTTATGTTAATGTTAACTTTCGAAGATTTTTACTAAAAAAAATTTCCTAATATATATGTCTTTACAACTTTTTGAATTTTTTTACAGAAAGTTTTACGTGAAATTCCTGAAAATTGTAATTCCATTTTCTTGAATCTTTTTTTACAGATAATAGTAATATACTCTAATATTTTATCATAAATTATACCTTTTGCCTTTTTCTCATCAATTTTGTCATTACTATTTTCTATAAGATCATTATATTGAATTATAATTCACTTTCATAATTTATTCAGTATAAGGTTTCTTCTTGATTAGCTTTCATAGTATAATATTTAGCATTAGTTATTTTATCAAATAATTGTGCCAAGTTGAATAATGAGATTGTAAAATTTTAACAATGACCCATTACTGAAATTTTAGTCACATGATTTGAATCTGAATAGATATTATCCCAAATGCCATTTATCACCTAAGCAATATTCTCTATTCCCTTTTTCCTGTTTTACTTTAGTGATTTTAGATTGTAATGTATTCGCTTTTCCTAGTTTAGTATAATAATTAGTTTTATACTTAGTAAAATTGGTATTTTTGTTTTTCAATTGTTTGATTTCTTCTTTGGTTATTTATTAATCAAGTTATATTAATTTTTGTTATCAATATAATGATTTGATTTTTTCTGGAGATGTAAAATCTTGTTATTTTTTTTTCCAACTCTTTATTAAAAACATCAGATTGTGCTTCTGTAAGAACTTTAGCATTTCTAAATTTGAAACATTTATTAGCAAAAATTTAGTTTCAAGAAGTAACTCATTATATTAAAATTTAAGTTTACATTCTCTAGTACTATCTAATTTATATTAACATCTATGAAAATTTTTGGGGTTACTAGGTTTACTATACAAGGTATATATTGGTGACATAGAGTCAAAAAATATTTACTATTTTTATATAAAAAGAATCTGAATAAAAATTGATAATTAACTAGTTTTATATAAAAAAGAAACTGGTCAAAAATTGGTAATTAACTAGTTTTATAAATATACATATTCCCACCTTTTTGCAATACCTACTCAAAGCTAGATCTTAATTAGGTTAACTATAATTATCTAGTTTCGAGTGATAAAGTCACAAGAAGGTGAAATTTTATTTAATTATTCTTTAGTTTTTATTTGATTATTATTTAGTTTTTATTCAGATTTTATCTAATTATTATCTAATTATTATCTAATATTTATCTGAATTTAAATCAGATATTTTTTTATATTTTTTAAATAGTTAACTTTAATACTAAACATCGAGTTTGAACATATTTCAATTCTAATGCTATTTCATTAACTCCTGAAGCAATTGAAAAAATAAGAAACACTTATGCAAGAGAATATCAAATAGAAAATGTGATATATGTAGTCATTATAGAATTGATAGTAAAAGATATGATGATATTATAAATGGTCAAATATATTTACAACCATCTAAAATAAAAATAACATCTATTAATTCATCTATCTTGATACTTCAACTAGAAATATTACTCAAATATAGTTCATCAAGTGCTATAAATCTTGAGTAACTAATTTTTTCAAGTAAATCAGTAACAAAAAAAACTATTAGAAAAAAGAAAGTCTTATAGAATAATAAACCTCCCAGTTCTAATATTGATAAGACAAACTTCGATATAGAATTATCTAAAGGTGGAAATCGATCAGAATTGAAAACTATAAATCATTTTATCTCATCAATACCAGAGAGTACTGTATAAACTAGAATGGCAAATTTGCGTGAATATAAAAAACAGCTTCAAGATGAATCTTGAAATTGTATTAATTTCTTTTTAAGATATTTTACATAATTAAGAACTCTAATAAATTCTTTTTTAATTATTACTTTATTTTTTACATCCTTCATACCTGATATAATCTGAATCTTGAATGGAATTCTAGTATAAGAAAGAAGTCATCTTGTTTGTCAAAATTTACACATTTGTTTTGTCTCTGACATCTGTAATTTTTTTGTATTAAATATGTTGCATGATTCTTTGTGAGTAGAAAGAGAAATTATAATAGTCTTTTCATTGTGTGTTACTATAAATTTCCCTTTTACTATAGAATCCTACTCAACATGATGTTGTCATTTTGTATCAAGTATCATTATAGATTTATCTTTTCTATTTTGATCTTTTTTTGTGAGGATTATAGATATTTCTTTTTCAAAAATTGTTATAAAATCTTTTTCACTATCTATAGATATAGGAATATTATATGAAGTACCAACGGACTGAAAATCTCCAACTGAATCTGTAAGTTTGTAAATATTTTTCTTATCTTTTTTTATCCTTAAATATTTAGAAATGTTATCTGTAAATAATAAATTATCTGCACTGGTATCTAGAATTACGTGAGGTATTATTAAGTTACCTATTCTACAAGAAATCATTGTTATATCATTAGATTCTTTTATATCAAGAAAATTAATCTCAAAAGGGTTAAGTCAATTTTATCTTATTTGTATCCCTTGATATATTTTAATGGTGTAATTTAAAGAGCGAAGTTTGGTGTCTTTGTCACATGCAATAGAATTATCTGAAGACTTGCTCATGTTAATAATCTCAATAAATGGTTGAAAGATAATTTGATATTTTTTCACAATAATCTCCCATACCTTATTTCTTTCTTTGACTATATACTTTTCACCATAATATAAATCAAACTAATCCTTCATTTTTATAAACAGGTTATTAAGAAATATATGAGTTTCAATGAGAATTTCCTTAGGATAATTTGGTATTAATTCGGATATCATATATTTAAGAGATTTAAGAAATACTTCACACTCCAAAGTATCAATAGATTTCTTAGTAGACTTCTTCTTTATAGGAATCTGACTTTTTTTTTTTTTTACATTAAAATATTTTTGTGATTTATTATTAGAGATAATTTCTTCATCTTTACTTTCCTCATTATTTTTCTCATCTTTATTTTTCAATATCACCACCTTTTTATTATCTGAATTTTTTAAATCATTCTGATAAACATTATTAACTTTTTTAGATTTTTTAATAAGTCCAGGACACTTATTTTTTTTATATCTATTTTTTTTGCAATTTGAATATTTATAAGTAACTTTAATAACTTTAGTTGTTTTTTTTGTAACATATATTTTCTTAATACTCCCAGTACTACCTCTACTAGTTGTTATAGAACTGGTCTCATTAACTTGTCCAAAAGGTTCTTTTTTAATATGATTAGATTGTCTTTCATAATTTTTAGTAAGGTCATTTTTAACAAATTTATGTATTGCTATAGGGTTTAATAAATCACTTGAATATTTTAATCATATTACAATATCAACAAATTTTTCTAACACATCATTTTTTTGCAAAAATTGATTTATAAGAATACTATATGTCATGGTACTAGCACCACTATTGATTTCATTTTCAAAATTACTTGTTGATCTTCCAAACTCTAGTCAAATAATTCTTAATTGTATAAAAAAGTTATTTACAGTATTTGGATTTGCTATTCTGATTCTTGTTTCTAATCGAGGAAGTAAATGATTATAGAGATATGACAATACTTCTGTATCGATAATACCTAATACATATGGTCTAATTCTTTTTTCATAAGTATCAATTGTATCTAGTAAAGTAAACCTTTCATTTATAAGTGTTTTTAAAAATGCTTGTTAATTTCTAATCATTGTTTCTTGATATTTATCCTGCATCCAGTTATAGACTTCTGCTTCAGTAACAATATTTGCATTAGCATTATATGGTTTTGTACTGGAACTGGAAAAAATCTACCTGTCATTTTATTTTTCATGACATTTGCTCTTTCTGCAGTATTAAAAGCTACAACACCTAAAGGTCTGGCTGTTTCATTTATAGCTCTAAGTTTTGTATAATAAGTATGTGGTAGTTCTTGTCCATCATAATCTGATAATATAGCAAGTTGTGGTGAAATAGTATATATAACATCTTGTATGGCAGCCATATTAATTGGATTTGATAATGAGTTATTATGTAAGACAAAAATTTGTTACTATAAATTATTAATTGTTTGCCATGAATTTTTTTCTCTATTCTTCCATTTTATATATTTATCAAATATTTGATGACGCTCTTGCTGTTCATTTGTAAAAGTGGTTTGTGTTAAATTTAAATTCCTTGGGAAGTATCATATTGATTTTGGAGTTGAGTAATTCTTTGATCAACTAGTTGATTATTTTGCATTATTTCTTGGAGTCTATTTCTATTTGCAGATGTTGAAATTAATCCAAGTTTTCTTAAAATAGCATCTCGACTAAAAGGTACTTGAATTCGATTTTGAAAATATAATCTAATATTACCTAGATGTCTTTGAAATCTCATATACTTAATAAATGATATAAAGAACTTTAATACTAGACTATCATCACGTGATTAAAATTCACTTAATTAATTGGTCTCACAAATAATTGATAATTTTTTAACGGAAAATGATGTTGCGTAGTAAGAACTTGAGTACATTCTTCGGTATCAAGAAAATTGAAATTAAAAATGTAATTGGATTTTTAGGTATTTCTCGATAAATACAAATTGTTCTGATCAAGATTTATACAATTCATAAACTAATTAATGTTGTTATATATAGACACAAATGTGCAAAATGTACGTTATTATTCTCATACGCCAAAACCTTTAGAAGGAATTCGTGTTTTAGAATTAGGACAGGTATCATATGAATTTTTTATTATAAATTTGCATGAATGATGAAATTATAAAAATTTGATTTATATTAATTATTATTCTTATAAAAGTTAATCGCTGGTCCATTTTGCGGAACAATTCTTGGGTAAAATTTCTTTATTCATTTTTATGAGAATAAAAAGTTTCATCGTAACATCACTAATTTATTATTATTATTAAAAGATATTATGGTGCAGAAGTGGTAAGTTTCTTGATAATTTTATATGATGCCTTTTTTGAATAAGTAATTAACATTTCTTTCCAGATAAAGATAGAACCGCCAGAAATGGGAGATCCTATTCGGATTTGGCGGAAAATTGATATTGATGGAATTGGTCCTTGGTTTCGGTCAATTGGTAGAAACAAGAAATCGTGCGAGATTAATCTACGAACTGAAGAAGGAATAAAGTAAGATTAGATATTATGAACGAGATATATTATTATCTTGTGCAATTTAATTTAAATTTTTCACCCAGACTTGCTCGTCAATTGGCAGATAAAAGTGATGTTTTAATTGAAAATTTTCGACCTGGAGTTATGGAAAAATGGGGACTTGGTCCTGGTATGATCAAATCATAATTACATTATACAATTTCATAAATGTTCTATACAAATAAAATATATTTACTTGTATTTTTATAGATGAATTATATAAAACAAATCCTTCGTTGATTTATACACGTGTTTCTGGCTTTGGGCAAACAGGTCCTTACGCAAAGAAACCTGGTTTTGCATCAGTATGCGAGGTAAACTTAATAATAATGATAATTATTTACATAACTCAAATATTCATTATTAATAAAGTATTGAGATAATATTTTTTTTAAAGGCAATGGCAGGTTATCGCTATATTAATGGATTTCCTGGTCAACCGCCAGTACGTCAAAATATTTCAATGGGTGATTCTATAGCTGGATTGACTGCTGCATTTGGTACGGTTATGGGTCTTTTGGCGAGAAATAAACTCGCATCAAATGCTATTTCGGGGCAAGTAATTGATGTAGCAATTTATGAAAGCATATTTAATATGATGGAAGGAATTTTACCCGAATACGATAGATTTGGAGAAGTAGGTAATTCCAATATTTTGAGTGAACTTTTTATGTATATTTTATGAGGATAATAATAATGAATTATATTTAATACAGATAAGACAACCTTCCGGTACATCTGTAACTGGTATCGTGCCAACAAATGCTTACCCTTGTTCAGATTCTAAAAATGTAATTATTGGTGGAAATTCAGATACAATATACAAGCGACTAATGAAGGTTATTGGGAGAGAGGATCTTGCTACTGAACAATATGCAACAAACAAAGAACGCGTTCAACATAAAGATTTAATTGATAATGCAATATCAGATTGGTCGCGTAAGCATACTTCTAAAGAAGTGATTGAAAAATTAGAGAAAGATAACATTCCATGTGGGCCTATTTATAATATTCAAGATATTGTTGAAGATGAACATGTTCAATCACGTGGTATACTTGAAACTGTTAGAGTGAATGAAAATAAAGAAAATGGTGGTTGGGATTTAAAGGTAATAAAAAAGAACATATATATTTTAATATATGTTTAATATGTTATTGTATTCAATAATTACAAATCTAAATTCTATCATTTAACAAAGATTCCGGCCATAACACCAAAACTAAGCGCAACGCCTGGTGAAACAATTTGGGCCGGACCAGATTTAGGACAACATAACCGTGAAATTCTTATGGATATTTTAGGATTAGAAGAAAAAGAAATTAAAAAACTACAAGATAATAAGATTATTGGTAAAACTTTATGAAAAGTTTTGAACAATTTACAGAATTGAGAATTTATCTAACCAATAAATTAAAATTCATGTTTAAATTTAATTTTAAATAATTAAATAGTAAAAACAAGTTTCATTTAAATCTGAATTTCAAAATTATTTAGAAGAGATATTTTGATATCAGAAAGAAAAAAGAAAATAAAGTTTTTTTTTTTTTTAATTTATATATCTTAAAAAACCAGTATTTATGTTTAACAAGTTAAATAAATAATAATGTGTAATCTAATAATTATATATAATAATAAATAAACGAATAAAATGTGTCTAGTAAAATGCAATTTTAAAGTGTCTATAAGAAATGTCACTACGTTCTCTTCAAAAATTTTATTATTGGGTTCCTAAGGTCGCCCAAGCTTTAATCAAAATATCCACTTTAGAAGGCTCTCTAACTGCAACTCGTACATAAGTTGGTCGATTATATCCCGGATTACCACTTCTAACAGGAACACCAGCAAATTTTGCTTTGGAAACGGCATCTTCAGCGATTTTTATTGACCTCATATCAATCCATACCCAAGATAAAAAATCTTTTCCATAAAATATCCATTCACATTTTTCATCATTATGAAATTTAACAATAGCGTTTGAAAGTTCCCTTAATCTATTAATAAGTTCTTTACGCCATCGAATTGTAAATTCCCATGTTTGTTCCATGTACTTATTATCTTTAACTACCGCATCCAAAAATGCCAATGCTGGACTATTAACACTCCATGGAATTTGTACTCGTTTTAATATATCACAATGTTTATTCGTAGGGCAAACCACAGATCCAATACGTAAACCTGTACATGACCAAATCTTAGTCCAAGAGTGTATAATGTATATAGAAATTTTTCTTGTTTCATATAATGAATTAATAAAATCATGTTGAGAAGTAAGAGAATCAGATCGGAACTCGGAAGATAGCCAAGGCTGCATTGATTCATCTGTATAATAAAATAAATATTTTGTGCCAGTCAGATAGTATAATTATTATGATGATTATAAATAAAAGTTACAAATAAAGCCACACACACAAAAATATTTAAACACACAAACAACCAAACAACATACCGACAACAACGAAACCTCCATCTTCAGCATTATCAACGATCCACTGTTTTAATTCTTCAACAGTTAAATAATCTCCAGTAGGATTACATGGATTTACAATACATGTGAGCATGGCTCTTGTTTTGTCTTGAGGATGAAGAATAACACGATCATTGTTTTCTGCTGACCTTTGATATTCTTTATACTATGAAAGAATTAATAATGTAATAAACATACAATAACATATATTAACATATGTTTTTATTAAAAAATTTATCATAATATTCTAAAATAAAAGACAATTTCAAATCAATTATATGAAATGAATTTTTACTTGAATATCCCAAGGACCTGGTTTCCAAGGACCTTTCGGAGCAGAACGTATTACCAAATCGATTAATTCGCTTGCACCATTTCCAATAAGCAACTTATCTTTATGTCTTAAATAACTATTAGGCCAAATAAATCGTGCAAGGGAAGTTTTGGAAGGTTCTTGGTTTGCTGGAGGATAATGATGACAAGTGTAACACTTTGAAAAGTAAAAGAAATAAATGCTGTTAAAAAAAAAAAAAACTCTCACAGTCTAAATATCAAGTTATCCAATTAAAAAAATCATATAAAGTTACTTACAGCTTCTCTAGAAGCTTCTAACGCAGTTTTCGGCGTTCCTAAGGCATTAGTGGTAACTGAGAAATCTTCCTTAAAATTATCTAAAAATTTCCAATCCTGACCACCATGAAATTGTTGTAATTTTGTATTCCATACGTTTGAACCATCGTAATTATTATTATTTAATTTCTCTTCCAAGGTTCCGTTTTCAATCATTTTTTTTTTTTTTTTTTTTTAAAAAAAAATAAAAAATAAAGATATCGAAAAAGATCTATTTTATCTAAGATAAAAAAAAAATCAAATGTTCCAAAAATGGAAATGGAATGAAATGTATATATATAACAGATTTAGATTCCCCCCTTTTCCCCAATTTCACCAATTTCCCCAATTTCTCCGATTCCCCAATTTCTCCGATTTCCCCAATAATTTTGAATGAATCATGCACCCGAATCTCGCATATCATGAGCATCCAAGTATGTATTTTTCAATAGCACGAATTTAAAATTAAAAGTAATAATCATATGTTTCTGATATTTCATAGAATGTATTGATGTTATTCTTCGTCTTGAAGAATGTCATCGATCTGGATTTATTAACAGATTTTTTGGTGGGTGCAATGATATTAAACGAGAACTTAACGAATGTTTAACCATAGAGGTTTGTTTTAGACTTGATTTTTTTTTAATTTTATTAATGTATTTTCACTTCTAATATTTTTCAATATATATGTATGTAAAATATGTAAATTTTGCCAAATTTTATTATATTAAGCATCAAATTAAAAGACGTAAAAACGCTGAAGCAGCAGGAGAAAGACGAAGAAAAGTTGAAAAATTATGGAAAGAATTGGAAGAAAATAATTAAAATAAATTGAAAACTCATTTTTTTTTAATAATTTTACGAAAACAGATGGATCATTATCATAATCATTTTAATTTATATAATGTTCAAAATATTTATTTATAAAACAAAATATTATCAGTTATCAAATGACAACCTAAAGAAATGCATATTATTTCTTATTGATTATGTTTCTTTTATTTTTAGCTATCCGTTCTAATATGTATAAAGAATTCAAATAATATAAGAATGAAAATATAGATATATAATAATAAGATAAATATACGTACATTATTTCTTTTTGCTATAAGTTGCTGCTGATTTGCGGGCCGCAGATCCGTTCTAAAAAATGTTTAGATAAATAAGTTAACATAATATATTTGAATCGAACTAACCATATATATAATTATTTGTATATACCAAGCCCATTTCAGCCAAATCTTCATTAGCCTCATTTTCATGCAATTTATAAGACACTGACGGTCGTACAACAAATTCCAAGTTAAGTTTTTAATATGGTATGTTATTATGAAAATCATGTGAATGATTGCTCATTCTAAATATAGAAATGTGAAAAAAAAGGATATCTATTTGCTTTGTTTTTTTAACTTTCACTTCAACTTCATGTGTAGTTCGAGTACGTAACCTTCGTTGCGGATGACTACGCAATGTACCCTCCATAGCAGTATCTTTCGATTTGAAAATAATAATCATTAAAAAATCCAATTTATATGAATTATTTATAATGAAAACCTTATCAAGTAAATACCATTATGTATATCATAAGCTTCATAGTCTTCTGCAAGTTTTCGTTTTTTTTCTTCAATTTCTGCTATTATTCTATCATTTATGGCTTGACGTTGTGTCTGTTCATCATGTAAATCGAATTTAAAATTATTAAAATTATTAAAATTAAAAATTAAAAACTTATTACACACTTGATAATATTCGTCTATGCGTGTTGTTTCGGTTTCATACTCTTTTTGTATGTTTTTTTGTCGACTGATCAATGCTAAAGAATGTCTTTCTAATTTTTGATCACGTTTGTCGATAATCTGTTGTAAACGTTCTTCATATTCGGGATGTGTACCTAATGTTATTATTATTAAAAAATAAAATTTCATATTATAATGACATTTGATATGAACTACTTACATAAATTCCTAATACCTTTAGGATTTTATAATGTAGCATTCATTCAAACCTTCTCGTACTGCCTTGATTTCTTCATCAATTTGTTTTAATTTTTCTTTAAATATCCTATAAAAAAAGAAAAGGTTTAATAGTTTAATATGATTTTGAACTCCGAAATCAAAAGACCGAACACAAAGTTCGTGAAAGATTTTTTTAAAAAAAATGAATGCTTACTCGTCCTTTCTCCTAGAAAACTCCGAATTTAAATAATTAAGCTTTGTTAATATGTTCCGGCGACTTTTTAATGTCTCTTGGTCGATTGGAGAGCTATTATTCGCTAATAAAATGAAAGAAAATGAAATTCAAAGAAAAATTAAATTAAATAAGTTCGGAAAGTATTTTTTAAGAAGAAACATAAAAGATATTAAAAAATTATCTAAAGAATGGCTAGAACCTTAATTATTTGGAACCAAAAAAGAATATATAAGTATAAATAAAAAAGTACCTGTTGAAATTTCGTTTTCTTCACGTTCTAGCTTGGTTCCTCTCATAATCTCGTCTTCAACAATTCTCAATGTTTCAATCCCAAATTGGTTATCATCACCGTCTAAAATAGCGCTGTGCATTATAATATCAGGGTCTCGAGTATGGTCAATGTCAGACGACTCTCCTTCGTAATAACTAGGTTTTGCAGTTTGTCGTTGTGCTCGTTTTGAAGCCTTGTTATGAGAAGTTTTAAAGTCTGCAGGAGACATTTCGTTGAAGAAAGGATGCCTAACTACACTTAATTATAACTGGGAAAAAAAAAGGTTGATATTTGAGAAGTTCTTTGAATAAGTTATCAAAAGGAGGTACCAATTAAGAAAAGAATTATATATTTCCAACTTCTCTATTTATACCAAATGAAAAAAAACAAATGAATAATAATCTATCAATAATCGCCAATTAAAATTTAAGGATCTGCGTTCACTAAAATTTCATTTATCTCAGCGTGATTTATCAAGTTTTAGCGAGGGAGTGTTACAGGGATTAATGTTTAATGTTTGTATCATTAAAAATTGTTATACATACATAATATACATAATACACAATTATATATAATATCGCGTTCAAAAGATGAAATATATCACATTATACATTGTTATATTGTCAAAAAATTAGATACGCGTATTAGTGAATGAGTTCAAATTTTGGTTTTTATCTTTATTAGAAAGTTTGGAATATAACATATTTATATGATAATTTATAATTAAAAATATTACTTGGGTAAAATATCAACTAATAACCCATTCAAATTTTGATGGTTTGCATTAATAAATATTCCATTGAACGATTAGGAGTTAATAATATTGTTTTTACGTTTTTTACTAATAAAATAACTGATTACCGCAAACATATAAATAGATCTGCATCATCAGATAATGACGTATCGTAAAAATTAAGAAAAACTTACTCCATATAATTTCAACCAAAATGGTTTCTACGAATAATTCTGACATTGATGTAGTTAAGAATTTCTTGCATACTCCTGGAAGCATTGAAGCTTCCGAATTAGTTACTGCTTTAGGAATTATGAATATTTCACTTGACGGTGAGTAACATTTTTATTTAATACAGAATGTTATTTTTCATATATTTATATATATATTTGTATGTTGGAACAGGTGCTAATTTCGAACAGAAAATGCAAAATATTCTGTCTGCCATACCTCTCACCTCAATTTTTATGCTTCTGGGAAGTGTTAATGAAGCGGTAACGTCAGTAACCTGTAAAGTTCTTAATAAATTATTACGACCTATGAGTTATAAGGATGTAAATTCTTCAGGACTCGAGGTTTGCATAAAAGAACGAATTTTTATTTTTATTTGAATCGATTAATCGATTAAATTTATTAAGATATAATTAAATTATATTAGGAATATTTGACAATTGGTTTGCAATTCGATTCTCCCGAAGTTCGAATTCTTTCGTTGCACCAGATTGAAAAATCCCTTGAGTCTGAAGAAGCTATTCAAGATTTGGTAAAACTTTCTTTTCCGAAATATAGTGACCTTGTTCTCCCCTCTCCCCATTGTTAATTAAAATTAATTATATTCTTTTAGATTAAATCACCACTTTTCTCTAAAGCACTGGAATGTTTAGGATATGAAGACATTCCAACTTCAACCAAAATGGCAGATTTCTTTACCAAGGTTTGGTAAATCATAATAATATTTAATAAAAAGAAAAAATCATATTCAATATAATTTATTAATTTACATGTTTTTTTTTTTTTTTTTTATTTCTTTTTATAATAATTATTTAGCTTGCCAATACTAGTGATTCTGGATTGCAAGCCTTATTTAATTCGGAATCTGTTGCCATTTTAAAAAGACTTTCCGAGGGGTAAACTTTGTATTAACAAAACAATTAAGTTATCATCTTCTAAAATGGGTTTGATTTCTCATATCCCTTAAACTAAATTCAGAAACGAAACCATAAAGTTTCGTGTGTTTGATTTGATTGCTCGAATATCAACATCTTCTTCAGAGGCATTCCAATTATGCATATCAACCGGTGCTCTGGATCCAATAACTTCTGAATTAAATTCTGATGATTTATTGGTTAGGTTAAATGCAGTGGAAACTTTTTCTAAGGTTGGAAATTTTGGATTTTAAATTTTTTTTTTTTTTAAAAAAAAATTAATTAATTTTAACCATAAACATTAAACGAACATTACATATATATGTGATTTAGATAATTCAAAGTAAATCTGGTTATTATTTTCTAGAAAGGTCTGGGATTATAAAGTCACTTGTTGATTATTTAACAAAAGATGATGACAAAGACATTGTACTTGTTCTAATAAAATCTGCTTCCCTTAAATTTTTTGGGAAATTATCTGAAATTGAGGTGAGGTTTGACTCTTTGTTACTACTGATATGAATATTATTATATTATTGTCAACATTTTATTAATGATGTATTTTTTTTTTTTTTAAAAAAAAAAAAGGAGGTGGATTTTTTTGAAGTAGAAAATAAATATAAAATTCTCACTCAACTTGATGCACATCTTTTGAGTGATAATTTAGAACTCAAGGTTTGTTTCTAAAATTTCAAATGATCTACACAATTCTTTTTTAAATAAATATTTTGATATTTGCTTTTTATTTTTATTTTTATTTTTTTTTTAAAAAAAAGACAACTACAATTAATGTTATTGGAATGATTGGCCATAATCCTCTTGGTCTTAAACTTTTGTATAATTGCACATCTCCTAATATTCTTAGCCATTTTATGGACCTTTATCATAGTTCAGTAGGAGAAGAGAAATTAATATGCATGCAGACTATTTCATGCTTAATTGGTGCAAGGTAAAATTTTTCTCATAGAATTAGAGATATATTAGATATATTGTAATATTTAATTATGTTAAGTTGTTTAAGTATTTTACCATTCTAGCGATTCTTCAACTGGTGACATAGATAATATAACTGAACAAATATATCAGCAAATTGGAGGTATGATTTACTTTAGAAAAATGTTTGATGGTTATCTTTTTTTTTCCGTTCTTAACATTCTTAAACAAATATATTCTTTTACATAGGATACCCAACACCTCTTAAAACTTTAATGGCCAATGCAAAAGTAACTATTGAAGATATTCGTATTGCAAACTTTGCAATTATGCAAGAAATAGCCTCACATCCATGGGGAAAAATTGAGATGTCAAGATCCAAAGAATTTATTGACTATATACTCAATCGTACCACAGAGTCTACTCACAAGGGTAAAGAGTGGAAGTATTCTATAGTTCAAACTCTAAACTCTAATTCCGATACAATTATCGCACCAAATGTTCTTCAACGTCTTAGAAAATATTTGAGCGAAGGTCCTTTTTATGTAAGAACTACAACCACTGTTGCGCTCGAAAGTGGTTAAAAGTTGCGGAAACTTGATAAGGGATAAATTTTGGGCATTTTCAGATTTTTAGTTATTTATTATTATTTTGATTAAATAAATAAATAGAATATAATATTACAATATTTCAATATATTTCAGTTGTTTCGGCAGTATTTAAATATATTATTACATGTACGAAGCTGCTTGTTGAAATGGTTCTTCAAGATGTTTGGTCAATGCATCAATCTTTAATTATAAATAATAGTTAGTAAATTTCTTCTTGATGAAAAAGAACAAAACCAAAAAAAAAAAAAAGGAAATAAAAACCTTTGCTTTTAACATTCCCAATTCGACCTCAGGTTTTGCAACAAGACATAAAAACATATTATTATTAACAGTTGTAATTACAACGTTTCCTTCCTAAAAAAATTATTAGCGTGAAAACTATGTAATGCAAATAAAATGGTTAAAAAAATAAAAAAACTAAATCATTACCTCACATCCTACCAACAAAAATTTCAATGCGTTTCCATCCATAACGCTTTTAACATTTTTTTCTATAGTATTCCAAATATTTGACGTTATGGCGGCATAAACTCTAGCTTCACGATCTGAGTCAGATACAAATGCTAAAGGAGAACCTTCGGAATTTAAAAGACTATCATAATATTATATTTATTTTATATTTTGAAAATAATTATTTATTTGAATAAATTTTGGTGGTTCCCATTGATATACATACAGTGTTGCCTTTACACCACCAGTAGTTGCTTGTTTAAGAACTAGAGATATCGCCTTTGGTTTAAGCATTAGATATTCTATGAAATTTACATATATAATGACATCATACTTTTTTAAATATTAAAAAACCTCTTTACAATCACCTTCTATAACTTAGTAATGTAATGCTATTATAGAAAACCTCTATATAATCACAATCCCTTATAATCACATATTTTCTTTTAAAACAAGATGAGAATATTCTAATACAATTCAATTAATTCAATTAAACAATTACTTAAGAGCAATCTTGTAGTATTATTAATCAAGTAAAATATGGCATAGCATATACCCAAATTACATTTCATATTCGAGACCAGAAAGTTTATCATTGTATTTTTTCTCTTTTTCTTGAATATAAGGGTGTAACCGTAAATCAAATCTCACGAGGCTTGGTCACATTTTGAAACGATGAAAATTCCTTCCGACTCTGTTAAATGAATGTCCATATAACTATTTATTTTTTTATCTGCAAAGTTTTTCCATAGAATATTTCTAGAAGATAAATTTGATTGGTCGGATGTTTTACTACTTCGAAAGAAATTTTTTTACGCACCGTGATGTTTTGAAATAATACGCTAGTAGGTTTTTTAAAAAATTATATCCTAAAATGTTTTTTAACGGTTAACGGTGTCTTCCCGAAAGAGAGATAAATAACTAAATAGTAAGAAAATTTTTTTACAATAATATTTTCAATTTAAAACGATCAATATTACTACTATTTTTTTTTTTTCGATAATCTTAGAACAGAATTATTTTTTGTTAACAAAACTCTAATCTCTTATTAATTCATTACGCGATTTACTTTTAAAACCTTAAAACATATTTGATCAGAGTTGTAAGGGGCGGTAATAATGGAGATCTTGTTAAAAGAGATTTATAAAACTGTCATTACTTAATAATAAGATCAGTTGTATTTCTATTTGGATAATATTAAAAATCAATCCAAGTAAGATCAGATCATGGGAATTCTACACTTTACCTTTTTTGATGATATACTATAATTTTTTTAAATAATAAGTAAATAATAATTTATTAAAGTTTTTTTTTTATTATTATTAAAAATTACATTAAAATTACACTATTGATTACTTTATTAATAATTTAACAATTACACTATTGATTACTTTATTATATTATTAATTAATTAAAAATAATAATTTAACATTACTGGACAGAAGACTGTAATGTTCATAATCTCATCATTTTTCATTTCACTTTTCATATTCTGCCATTTTCTTTCTGAATTTACAAACGTAATCTTATTCTCTTTTGCTAATCTTTCTAAATGAACAGCATTTATTTCTTCACAAACATTGTAAAGTCGAATTTGATCTTCTTGAGTATTAAATCTATTCGTATTTACTATCAAAACAACTTCGTTATAATGAAATATATTGCTGAAATAGGTTGCAACCTTTTTTTGAAAATCTTGAAGTGAAATATCACGCAAAATTTTAATTTTAGTGAGTTTGGTAGTTGGCAAAGACCAATAAAAGTGAAGGTTCATACGAATATTATCTTTAATGGGATTTCGAATACTCTCAATATTCGTAATATCGGTTGATTGTTTTTCGTGAATATTATTGGTGTTTAGTTGATCCTGAACATTGGTATTTAGTTGATCTTGAATATTGGTGTAGAGTTCGCCTTGAACGTTGTTGATGTTTAGTTGATCCTGAATATCGGTATTGAGTTCGCCTTGAACGTTGGTGTTAAGTCGGTTATCAAATCCATTTTGGAAAATGTCATTTCTTTTATTTCTTTTACATTTTTTAATTATTTTTCCTTTAGCATTTTCAAGAGGAGTAACCTTACTTTCAAAAGATTTTTTGATGGAGTTTGACGAGAATTTGTCAACAACCTTTTCAAGGAATTTTCTTAAACGAGTACCAACACAATTGGCAGAAGTAATACATTTTCTATTTGAACTACTTGAATTCGGCCAGTATTGATCTTGATTTAATAAATTAGTGATATCAATATTTGGTTCATTACGTGATCCTTTAAATACAGTAGGAATGGATTTCTTTTTGAAAATGATAGAAAATGGTCGAATAATGGGAACATACATTTTTAATTGATAAAATTGATAATTTGAAATTTGAAAATTAAAAACACCTCGTTATGCGTATATAACGTATAAGATGTATATGACGTATATGACGCTAATTTATTCTGAAACAAGCAAGTCCATCACGTAGTATTTATATAGTCTTTTATAAACTTTAAGATTTAATTCTTTAATTACTAGATTAATTCCATTAATTGTGTGTTGGATTTTTGCAATTGTTTTCATTTGTCACATTTGTCTTATTTGTTCAATGCATTATGTCATTTTGTGATTGAATTAACAAACAAACAAAAGCGAAAAAAAAAAAGAACAGAGGGATGTATATACAATGTCGAGAATAATACATTTTAAAGATATATATATAAAAAAAATAGGATATTAATTAAAATAATACATAATACATTGATATAATTATCAATATTCGTTAATTACCTATTATGAACAAACAGTAAAAAAAGATTAAGTTTATTAAACAATACAATATTTTATTAAACCGCAAAAATCATGCGAATGACAAAATTTTCAGTGTCCACGCGTTAATTTAAATCTTTGTTGGAAATGTTTTTGTTGTATTGTATCAAGAAACGTTTTTCCTAAATTAAATTAAATGCATTCGCTCACAACAATACTAGATTAAAGTTTTAAAATCATTTTCTTATTGAAATAAAGATTGATGTGGTTGGAACCAGATTTGCTTATTAGGGAACAAAATTATAAATGTTAGGATAAAATATTAGGTAAAGTTCAGAGTTCTTTGGAACAAAAAAAAATTTGACCTTTTTAGAATGTAATTGTTATGACGATTTCAGGTTTGTGAGGAAAAACTGTATAAAATTATATTTTGAAAATATCATCTATGTCATCGATATTATATATTGAGTTTATATAAATTATAAAGATCTTTCAATCCAAATACACATATAATAATCTATATAATCTTCATATATTAATAAAATGTTCCTAAAATTTCTTAAATCTATTAGTAAAAAAAAAAATTTAAAAAGTTAAAATACATATGTGATAAAGAAATTTAGTCAAAATTCCAAAAAGATATCATCAAAAAAAATTGCAAATCGATTTAAAATATCTCCTCCCAAGACCAAATGTCATTTATGAAAATTCGTACCTTGAGATTTGCGAAATGTTAAACATCGTCGACGATTTTTTTAAAAGAATTTTCTGAAATCAAGAAAATCGAGAAGAGTGTGAGTGATGTGACAGGACTACTCACCACGTTCACTAACTATTGTTCGGATCACTTGTTAATATGGAAATTTTAAATATCACATTTCCTTAAAAAAAAAACATGTATAAAAAATTTGTAAAAAAAAGTTTAAAAATTGTAATTATCCGTTATAAAATAATAAAATAATTTAATGTGAAAATTCTCACTTGAAATAGTTGATAAGTTTATCATATGATGAACGAATAGGATTTTAAAGGATATATACAAATACACATTTGATTAGATAATTGAATTTGTTGCGAATCCGGGAAATTATTAAAGAATTTAAAAATAAAATCAACTTATTTTTCAGTAAAGTTAAATATATTTGTTACTATTAATAAATTAGTCAATTTAATAATCAGAGATCAAAGAAATTTTGGATTAGTAAGACTATGATTAATTAGGAAAGAAAATCAAATGCTAGAATTAAATTGGTCTAATAGATGTATAAAACCATATAAAACCATTTTAATACTAATACCCATTAGATAAAATAAGATAAAATAAGCCAACAAAGTTCACGCGATCTTTTCCCTGAGTGTTCAAATAATAATTTTGATAATGAAGGGAAATTCATAAAATAATAATAATTATTATTCCTGATATGAGTAAATTCTATGAACTATACAGATTCGCAAATTTCGAAAAAATTTTATTTTAGGAGGATTTTCTCTTCGCAAATTCGTCTCCGGATTACGATTTTCATTAAACGTTTCTTGTATTCTTCTGCGGTTTCTTGATTCATTTGATCTATTGGAATTATTTTCCAAACATGACAAACACCACCTAAATTTATTTTCCAAACATGACAAATAGTTCATATCTACCTAAATTTTGTACCGATAATAATTCATTTATTTGAATTTAAGTTTTATGAATGTTTAGATTTTATAGATTTAACCCACCATTGATCTTACTAGTATAATTGAGAAGGTTCAAAACAAAATGATGTATGCAAGATATATTATTATTATTATTATTATTATTATTATTATTATTATTTTTCCGAAAATTTATTATGCAATATTAATAATTAGTGATTATAATACCGGCGTTTTAACTAGACTGAAAATCCAATATTTTCAATCATAATGCTGGCAATGTCATTTCAAATAATTCTATATTAAGGAAATAAGGCATGCTTTTTCCGTAAATTTTTTGTTTGCTTGTCGCTCTTTATATTAAATGAAAAAATTATGGTGAATCATACAAACGTGTAAAATTTATTACTTTTTTTGTTTGTGTTAAATGATTTGTTGTGTTACAGATAATTAAGAATGACACCATTACATTATTTTTATTAGTTGAAAAAAATTATAAATATCCTTCTTTAGCATTGACAAAAATTTCTCCAGTTTGTTTCGTTAAAATTTAAATATAAGTGAAAACCCTCCCAAACACAAAAACCATCAAAAATGAACGAGCAAACTCGCTCTAGCTTAGTGTTTATTAATTCTAATGATTCAAATCTTAAAATGAAAAATCACGTGGTAAACGACGTTCAAAAACAATTAAGTCAACTTCCGTTTCCTCCTACCATTAAGCCAAGCGAATTAATCTCATTTGCTGAAGGTAGTAGTATTCCAGCTAGAGCCCCTAACGCTTTCATCATCTATCGCAAATTATTTATTCAAAATTCCAAAAATAATGGATACACTTTTCCTATGACTGTCATTTCTACTATGGCCTCCAAATGTTGGAAGCTTGAACCGGACAATGTCAAAAAGGAGTATAAAAGAATTGCGAGAGAAACGTTCATTTATCGAAAAAAAATTTGTCCAAAACCAAAACGTGAAAGAAAAAGAAAAACATGGCTTATTGTTTCGGTTGATCAAATTAATAAGAACCGGACTAAATCTAAAAAAAAATCGAAACCGTCACCAGTGAATTCTATTTCTACTAGTTCTTTTGTTAATTTAGAGAAAGAACAATCTATACCTTCGAATATCGCTACTACTACAACAACTACTGCTGAATATATCCAACAACAAAGCCAACATTCAACTTCACCCACCGAATCACGATTTGAATCTTTAATTCAAGATTTGGGCTTATTCAAAGAGAGGACAGACATTTTTGATTCTCGAAATGAAAGCAGTAATAATTCTTTTGGTTCCAATCTCGAATTTAATTTCTTTCCAATTCAAAATGAAAATTTAAATAATTTGTCAAACGAAAATCAATCAGGAATTGATATTTATGATTCTAGAAATTTAAACACACCATATTTTAATGTCGCTACCTTCCCAAATGAACCATTTATTAATCAAAATAATCAAAATAATAATAATCCATTAATATTCTTTTCGAGTTTATATAATACGGTGGGCAATAAAGAATTGAACGATAATAATTCTTTTAACTCCAATTTTTTTTATGGGTAGATAAAGATTTTTAATTTCTTTTAAATAACAACAATCTATAAGCACATTACTAAGTTTTTCTAAGTTTAAATGATAATTATATTTTTAAGAAATAATCGGTTTTATTATATTTTATTCGTTAATTAATCAATTTAGATTTTTTTTTTTTCCAATAATTAAATAATCGTTTTAATTATTTGTACTTTTTAACAAAACTAAGCAATTAAGGTTAATTAAGATTAATAAAGGCTAATTATGGTTTCGATTCGATTACATGCACTGTAATACAATCAGAGATTCTGATAATCAATTCTTTGGTAATATTTCGTGACGTACAAATTTTTATGGGATATCAAATTTTGGTGTGTTATTCTCGGAAATTCGGCAATTATTTTTAAACAATGTACATAATGTCGTTCGTCCCAGGAGCAGAACCATGCCAAATGACACATAAATGCTCGAGAATTTTTTCTTTTGACAAGAAACCGTGACATTTAACTCAAAATCATATGACTATAAATGATCTGATAAGTCTCTAACTATTTTTACGTTACCTAATTTAATACCTATTTACAAATATACTTGCCTATTTACAATAACGAAATATAATAGCGTTTGATTTGGTAATAATTTTGACTTTTTTAATAATCTAATTTCCTGAGAATTTTAATTTTATAATATTTTTCTTTTATTGGATTGAATGTAGGTAACAATCGACGACAAACCTCAATTTTATATACAGTTATATATTTTTTAAAATATCGAAAAGTAATTGTTTAGAGTTTAGAGTTAATTTTTGGGACGTTCCCAATTTGATACGGAAAGGAGGGAGTAGAGTATGATCGAATCTTCGTCTGGTTGATCACACTCTAATCTTCTATGGAAATCAAAGTTTGTTCTTTAGAATTCAGATGTTTGTACATTTTTAACTTGATATTCACCAACCTATGGCTATGGAGAAATAGATTTATTCAACTCTACTTTCGCTCTTGATAAACTTATGTCACAAATAACCTTGTGAATGACTGTTATATGAAAACTGCTTCGTGGCTCTTATATACCTTTGATAAAAATAATGATATGGGCATATGCAAGATTTAAGGAGATAAAAGCAGAAAAATTTGGGAAGCAAGTGTTCATAGTATACATGAAGTTGGCATGGATGGATTCATAGGAAATTAAGAAGGAGTAACTGTCAATGCGCCTGTGGAATTTCCTTGGCGTTTACTATAAGTGCTATAAATGATCAATCCGATTTCAAATAATTAAATGCGAGTATATGAAGGAAAAAAAGTATAAAAGAAAGAACTGCAGAATATCATTATATTATAATTATAATTTGATTTTGTATTAAGTGGTGAAAATTTAAGAATAGCATAATAAATGTTCAAAATTTGTTATATATTAATTATACTGCAATTTTATTTTGTTTGAAATAATGGTACAATTAAATCTCTTATATTAGTTACATCAATAAACTAGATGTGAATAATTGAGAATATAAGGACTATAGAGGGGGATATACTGAGGTTTCCCAGGTTTACTGGGCAACGATGGGCCATAAATCATTAATTTAGCTCTTTTACGTAATTAATTGCTTTATAAATTGTATATTTATAGGAGGATATACTGTTGCCAATTTCAAATTCCTATGAAAATATTTTATCTAGACAACAACAGCAACAAATTCCAAGAATACTGTCAAATTTATATAATATATATATCAATAAATGCAATTTTTTTTAATAGAATAAAGACAAAAAAAAATAAGTTTACCATCCTACTATCTGTAGTTGTGTCTGTGGTTGTGGCTGTTGTTGTGGCGGTGAATGATAATATATTTGTTGAGGGGGAGAATATTGACCCTATTTTATCGCGAAATTTATTACATTTGAAATTATTATTAAAATCAATAAACAGTTATCACTTTATATCTGTTATTGATTAACTACTATAATTTCTTCAAGGGGATAACTCTATTACATTTACTGCGAAATTTATTACATTTGCAAAAATTATGAAATTATTATTAAAATCAAATGAACAGTTATCACTTTATATACCTGTTGTTGATTAACTACTATAATTTCTTCAAGGGGATAACTCTATTACATTTTACCGTGAAATTTATTAAATTTGCAAAAATTATGAAATTATTATTAAAATCAATAATAAAGAGTTATCACTGATGATAATAGTTTGCCAATAATTTAAATATGTGAAAAACAAAATATTATTATTTTTCTTTTATTTTTGAATAGTATGGTGCGGGAATTATAATTTATCTATATTGATCTATATTTTGATTCTGGATCTTACCAAAAAAATATAACAGAACAGATAATTCCCTTTTCTTTTTTTTTAAAAAAAATGAAAAGGATTGAATATATATCGTTCTCAAATATTTAATAAAGATTATCGTTATGGTAAAAGTATGTTCTTTTTCGGGAATTAATTAAAGAGCGTTTAGGTTAATAAGATCGCGTAATAGAAAGGATCGCTCGGATTGAATGAAAATTGTAGGGGACGAAAAACGGATTAGATAAGTAATTTGATATTTGGGATAGTTTGTCCGGAGAACATTGTGGGATTAGCGAAAATTGATCACTCAGATGATTCCGCGTGTCGCGCATTAATTTTCATCACGGTAAAAAACAAAAAACAAATACCAATTATAAAAATAAAAAAAATATATTTGCTCTGGACTCAGTTTTTCTAGTTACTTATTATTTACATGCATATAATTTATACGTAATAAAGATGAAATAAACAAAAAATTTTGATATCTACCGAGTCTTCTCTCTTTTTACACAATTTATACAGTAAAGTTTTTTTTTTTTGAAAAAAATTAATCTATAGAATCTAAAGAAATCTATGGATCATTATTCACCTTTAAATATTTTAAATATGAGGAACCAAATTACCAAAGTGAAAATTTCATTTTGGTTGGATTATTAAATTATCATTACAATCATGAATATTATTATTCATCCTCTTTATAGAAAATAATGAAAATTAATAGGTCAGGAAATCAATTCTTCTTTTATCTAATTGAAATTGAAAAATAGAAATATTTTGATTTCGTTAATAAATCTGTTGTAAATAATAACAAAATATTTAAATCTCCAAAAAGTATTAATAATTAAAAAAATTTTTTTTTATAAAATGTATTATTTTAATCAGATATAAAACAAGATCATCAACCAAAGAATCGAAGAAGATAATTATAATGATTCTTTGTGAATAAAAAAATTACTCAGTGCTTGACTCTATATTTGTGTATCATCATATTATCTGAAATGTGTGAAATAAATATTTTTTAATATTATTCTCACCTTCAAAGTAAATTAACAAGACGAAGAGGAGACAATGAACAAAAATCAAAAATCAAAAATTTTTTTTAATATAGATATCATATGTTATCATGTGATTCATTATCGTAAGTGGAGATGTAAATTATCAGATTTTTTTTTATATTAACCATAAAAATTACGTGGTAAATTAAAAAGTCATATAAAGTTAGTTAATTAAAAAACAATCTTTAAATATTTTCGATGTCTACTGGTAAAAAAGCTTTACTTGCGTAGCTTAATAGTTCTATTCGGATAGTTAAAAAAGTTTTACTCACGTAGTTACTTATATATATATATATATATATAGAAAAACTCTACATTCTTATAGTTGGTTCAGGTGGACGTGAACATGCAATCGCATGGAAATTAGCTCAGTCTTCAAGAGTTGAAAGAATATATGTTGCACCTGGTAAGCCGACTTTGATATATACATATTTTTTAATATGATAGAATTTTAATAAATTTAATATATAAATATTTTTAATAAATTTTAATATATAAAATTTTTTTAATATGTAAATTTTTTAATAAATTTTCAGGTAATGGAGGTACCGAAACCGAAATGCATAAAGTTTGTAACGTTAATATTGGAGTCAGTGACTTTGAAAAATTGACACAATTTGCGTTGAAAAATAATGTAATTTATTTTTTTTAAAGAGAATTATTATTATTTAATCAGATGAATATTTTTAATTACATAATAAATTAATAATAATAAGAATGATGATAATAATAATAATAATAATAATAATAATTCCAGGTAAATTTAGTTGTACCTGGTCCCGAGCAACCATTAGTTGAAGGGATCGAGATGGCATTTAAAAAAAGTAAGTGATAATTAATAATAATTAATAATAATTAACAATAAATAATAAATAAATAATAATAATAATAATAATAATAATAATAATATAGTAATTAAAAAAATATAAATTTTTTGAATATGTAGTTGGTATTCCATGTTTTGGACCATCACCAAAAGCTTCTATTATGGAAGGTTCTAAAACATTTGCTAAGAATTTTATGAAAAGGCATAATATTCCTACTGCTGCTTATGAGGTTTGTAAATTGATTTTATAATTATTTATAAAATCCAATTATCACAAAATATTACAATTATCACAAAATATTTCAATCATCACAAAATATTTTAATTATCACAAATATTACGATTATTACAATTGTTATAATTATTATTGTGCATTGATTGACAATAGAATTTTTCAGATTACGAACAAGCAAAAGATTATTTGAATTCAGTTTCTTATAATGTTGTTATAAAGGTAAAATATAAATAATTAAATAAATCATCATTTCATCAAATAATATGTTTCTCAAATTTACTTATTATTTTTTTTTAGGCTTCAGGTCTTGCTGGTGGTAAAGGTGTTTTAATTCCTACCAACAAAGAAGAAGCTTTTAATGCATTAAAAGAAATCATGGTTGATCAAGTTTTTGGTTCAGCTGGTAAGTAATAATAATAATAATAATAATAATAATAATAATAATATTATTATTATTATTATTATTATTATTATTTTAAATCATATTATTATGTAATAATTAAAATAATAATAATAATAATAATAATATATGTGTAAATTAAATGTAAATTAAATGTAAATCATATGTATATTATAGGAAATGAAGTTGTAATTGAAGAATATCTTGAAGGACAAGAATTGAGTATTTTGACATTCTCAGATGGATATACAATTGTTAATCTTCCTCCTGCCCAAGATCATAAACGTGCTTTCGATGGGGATCAAGTAATAAAAATATATATTTTACGGATTATTTAATAATGATATTTTTAATTTATGTATCTGCTTTATTTGTTTTTTCTTTCGTAATGTTGATCAATGTTTCATAAATGTAAAAAAATTTTTTCTTTAGGGACCTAATACAGGTGGAATGGGTTGTTATTGCCCTACCCCAATAATTACACCGGAATTAAATGATCGAATAAAAAATATGATACTTCAACCTACTATTGATGGAATGAGACATGAAGGTAATAATGAAAATCTTTTATTTTACGTTTATTGAGGTTTGTTGATTCTTGAATATCCATGATTTTCGGTTTTCCTTGATTCTTAAACATTCCTTGATTTTCGATTTTCCTTTGATTCTTAAATATTCCTTGATTTTCGATTTTCCTTGATTCTTAAATTTTCCTTGATTTTCGATTTTCCTTGATTCTTAAATATCCCTTGATTTTCGATTTTCCTTGATTCTTAAATTTTCCTTGATTTTCGATCTTCCTTGATTTTCGATCTTCCTTGATTCTTGATTTTCTTTGATTCTTAAAATATTCTTTGATTCTCGATTTTCCTTGATATTCCTTGATAATCCTTGATAATCCTTGATAATCCTTAAATTTCCTTTCTTTTTCTCTTTTATATATATACATATCTATAAATATACTATAATACATTTAGGCTTTCCCTTTGTTGGAATGCTTTTTACTGGACTCATGATAACGGATTCTGGACCAAAAGTGTTAGAATATAATGTACGTTTTGGTGATCCGGAAACAGAAGTAGTTTTACCACTTTTAAGTGAAGATACAGATTTGGCTGAAATAATGCTGGTAATTTTATTTTTTATATTTATTTATTCATTTATTTATTTTATTTATATATTTATATATTTATATTATAATTTATAATATGAAAATATTTACATTAAAATGAATTTATAATATGAATATATTTAAATTTAAATGAATTTAATTAATTTAATATTATTATTTAAATTTATAGGCATGTGCGGAAAGAAGGTTGGATTCTGTTAAAATTAAAATTAAACAATGTTATGCTGCAACCGTTGTTATAACTTCTGGTGGTTACCCTAAAAATTATTTAAAAGGAAAAGAAATTTCAATCGCAGATATTCCTTCTGGTAAATTATCAATTTTTTTTTTAATAATAATGATTTTTATAATAATGACAATAGTTATTAAAATATTGAAATCTAATTTCCGAATTCAATTGATCTAACAAATATAAATAAATAAATAAATAAATAAACAGATGTAATTGTTTTTCATTCGGGAACCAGTATAAAAGATGGTAAAGTTGTTACATCAGGTGGACGTGTGCTTTCAATTACAGGAGTTGGCAACACATTAAAAGAAGCTGTTAAAAAAGCATATGATGGAGTAAAAGCTATTCAATTTGAGAAAATGTTTTATAGAAAAGATATTGCACATCGGTAATTACAAATTTATATATATATATATATTTATTTAAATAATAGGTTATTAATTTATTCATATTTTTTATATTTTTTATTTTATATTTTATTTTCTTCAGTGCCTTTGCATATATAGATAAGAATGATAAAAAAGTAATGACATATGAATCATCAGGGGTTTCAATAGATTCCGGTAATTTACTTGTTCAAAAAATTAAATCATTAATAAAAAGTACTCAACGTTCGGGAAGTAATTGTGAAATCGGAGGATTTGGTGGTTTATTTGATTTAAAAGCGGCGGGATTTAATGATCCAATTTTAGTCTCAACTACTGATGGAGTGGGAACTAAATTAAAAATTTCTCAAGCTATGAATATTCATAATACTATTGGTAAATATTTATTTATTATTTTATTTTATTTAATTTAATTTAATTTAATTTAATTTAATTTTATTTATTTTAATTTAATTTACAATATTTTATTTATAATATTTATAATAAAATTATATCTAATTAATTTAATAGGTATTGACCTTGTGGCAATGAATGTTAATGATCTTATTGTTCAAGGGGCAGAACCATTGTTTTTTCTTGATTATTATGCATGTAGTAAATTAAATGTGGATGTTACTAAAAACGTTATTGAAGGTATTGTTAAGGGATGCATTATATCTGGATGTGCTTTGATTGGAGGGGAAACTGCTGAAATGCCTGGAATTTACAATGAAGGTAATTTATATTAATTTTATTTAATATTATTATTTATTTAATATTATTATTTATTTTAACATAATCATTTATTTTAATGTAATCATTTATTTAATATATAATCTATTCATTTGATAATTTATTTAATACAATCATTTATTTGATATAATCATTTATTTAATACATTGATATTTTATTTTGATAATTTTCATTTTAATTAATTAATACTTTATAATTTTCATTTTAATTAATTAATATTTTGATAATTTTCATTTTAATTAATTAATATTTTGATAAATTTCATTTTAATTAATTAATATTTTGATAATTTTAGGAGAATATGATTTAGCAGGATTTGCAGTAGGTGCGGTAGAACGTGGAAAATTACTTCCACGTCTTTCCGAAATAAAAGTTGGAGATATTTTAATTGGAATCGCATCTTCCGGAATTCATTCTAATGGATTTTCATTAGTTCGTAAAATAATAGATAACAATAATAGCAATTATAATTATAGTTCGATTTGTCCATGGAATAATTCAAATAACAACAATAATAATAGTAATAATAATAAAAAAAATAATAATAATAACAATGATAATAATAATAATAATAATAATAATACGCTGACACTGGGAGAAAGTCTTCTCACTCCCACTAAAATTTATGTTAATCAATTGAAACCCCTTATTAAAAAAGGACTTGTTAAATCAATGGCACATATTACGGGAGGTGGATTTATTGATAATATACCAAGAGCTATACCCGAACATTTAAGTGTGATCATTGATTCTAAATCATGGGAAATACCTCACGTGTTTAAATGGTTGGCTAGAAATGGAAATGTACCATCAGGTATGTTTGTTATATCATTATTCATTATCATTATTATCTTATATCATTTATTCATTATCATTATTATCGAATTATATATATATTTAATATATTGAATTAATTATTTATTTTAATATTAATATATAAATATGGATAAATAGATGAATTATTTCGAACATTTAATTGTGGAATAGGAATGGTGTTAATAATATCACCTGAAGATATTAATGAAGTTTTTAAGATATTGAAAGAATCCGATAATGTATATAAAATTGGACAAGTGGTGACTAAAGAATCAAATAATGGAAAGGAAATCATTATTGAAGGAATTAATGAAATACTTATTTACGATTAAATCCATTAATTGAATCCGAGAACTTTTTGAAGAGAGAGATAGATAGATAGATAGATATATATAATATGTATATATTTTTTTATATGTCTCCAATATCTATGTATATGTTATATGTATATATTGATTTAATTAATGTTAATTCAAGAAAATAAAAAAAAAAATAAAAAATAAAAAAAGTTAAAAAAGATTGATTAATTATATTTTTAAAATAATTTATTTTGTGTGATAATATATATATATGTATATATATTTAGATAAATATATAATAATGAATGAATGCATGTTTGTAATGAATGAATAAATACTTTTTATATACTTGAAAGAAATATAATAAATATAATAAATATGATAAATATGATAAGTATAATAATAAATTAATAGAATGGATTAAATATAAATAGAATAGAATAAATTAATGTAAAATATAATATAATATAATATAAAAATCATATATGTAAATATATATATGTGTCATATAAAATATAAAATATAAAATAATTTTATACTAATAATAATAATCCCAATTGAAATATAATTTCAATTATCCCTATTATTCCCACGATCCATTTCCACCAATAAAATAAAATCAAGTTGTTTCTCGTCGCTGAATTAGTTTTAATCCAATCACTTCCCATGGGATTACAAGTTACGTTAGATATCGAACCTTTTTCTGGGGAATTCATTATTCCATAACTTTGAAATAATAATAAATAATTAATATTATTACCGAAGTTAAGATTATCATTAATATTCTCAATATTGATGGGTGGACAATTAAAATTTAAAGTCGAAGGACACGATTGAGTGGTGTTATAACATAAATTAATGCAAGGAGGTATCTCGATGTATGCTCCGGGTACCATCTCTTTATCAATCTTGGGAATTCTACTTTTATTTGCATTTCGAGCGATTCCTCCAATTATTGAAGAATCGGAAAAATCATTATCATCATCAGAAGTTGAAAAGAAATCTGCGTCCCCACATCGAGGTACGGTCATTGCGCAAATCCAATTCTTATATGATTCCAAACAATCATTACAACTTCTAACCAATGAATAATGTGTCTTGTTACATGAAAATTGCGAAAGTGTTAAAGTGAAATTTTTAAAATATTCTTCGGCGAGTTCATCATAAAATTTAATGATCTTTGAAATGGGAAGGAGTGGATTGGCGGGTACAGAATAAGCTACTCGATTACAAAATGTAAGATCGGAAACTAATCTACAATTTAATTCTAAATAAAATAAAATAAAATAAAATAAAATAAATTAAATTAAATTAAAATAAATTAAAATAAATTAAATAAATTAATATTAGTTAGAATATATATATATATTTGTATGTATGTAATTTATAATATAAAGTAACTTACGTGATTTTGTGTGTAAAAGTATTGGATCAATATGAAAATCCTTATTACTATTATCGGTGATGTTATTAACCTTACCATTAATATTTTTAGAAATAACCAAAGCTGTATAATTCATTCCATTTTTTAAATTATTTATTGAGATTGTAACTTTTTTTCCTTTATCAGGATAAATGAAACCTCTAGTGGTTTCACTATATGTGATATTAATATTGTCAGGAGTATTGGATTCATATGCACATAATGAATTATATAAACCCACTACACTATTGGAATCTACTATATAAGTTAAAAATGATGCTGATAAATTAATAGTTTCATCATTTATTCTAAATAATGCTGTTGAATTATCTGTATCTTCAAGTACCAAACTTTTTATTATTGATGGAATATTATGTAAATATTCTATTAATTATAAATAAATATAAATTATAATTATTAATATAAATGTCATTATTATTATTATTATTATTATTATTATATAAAATATAAATATAAATTTATAAAATATAAATATAAATTTATAAAATATAAAATATAAATATAATTGTCATTAACATTATGAATTAAATTAAATTAAATTTACCACTAGTAGAAACTCCAATCTGATAATTATAATCTCCTGTGACTTCAGTTTGATTAGGTGCAAATAATCCAATATATATTATTTTATTTGATGATGATGATGAAATTTCTAATGATGATATATTAAAACTTAAAAATCCATTATAAATATCATATCCTTTTATTGATAATGTTGAATTAGGTCCTGGTTTTGATTCATTTGTATCTAATGAAACATATACTTTTAATTTAGTATCCACTTTATTATTAGTCTTATTATTATTTAAACTAGGTAATTTACAAATTGTTATACTAATATATATATAATCCTCATCCTTAATTTTACTAATTGGAATTGAAGGTCTGGGTGAAAATAAACTTGAACTAACACTATTTGAACGACTAGTTGATTTTGTATTAATAGTATTAATGGTATTTAGAGTAGTCTTTGTTGATGCTATTGTCGTGGTGGTGATAGTTGCTCTTTTCATGATAAATCCAAGTCCTCGTTTTTGTATTGTAGAATAATTATACATAAAATGTACACTCGAATTATTTTCCGAACTAAGGTTTCCATTTTGTATTTTCGAATCTATCAATTGAATTGTCACATCTCGTGATAATATTTCCCCTTTTATTATTATTATGAAAAAGTAAAAGATTATGAAAGAAAAGAATAATATCCACTCATAACTTTTTTTATATTTTTGCATTACAAGAATATAATATATCTATCTCTATAATATATATAATTTATATATATATATATATATTATATATATATATAGATATAATTTATATAAAAAAAAAATTATTAATTATTAAAATATTCAAAAGATTCAGATTATTATTATTATAATTATATTATTATAATTATATTATTTATTATTATAATTATATTATTTATTATTAACAGATTATTTTTAACAACTCTCTCGAACAAAAATAGTGGAACAAAAAAGTATGATAGTTGATATTGATGAATATATGTATGTATTTATAATAAAGTGAAAGAAAAGAAGCGGGAAAAAAAAGAGGGCAATGCAAACGGCTATGGTTTTAAAAAGAATCAGATATTACTAATTAAATGTAAATATAAATACAAATCAGTTTCAGTTACCAATTATGGAAAAATTGTTAATTATTATTATTATAAAAATTTTAGTAGTGCAGATTTTTTACCCAACGAAAAAATGCTAACCAAAATAACCAAAAAAATACATCATTCATTTCCCATAATCTTATCCGAACTTTTTACATGCTATATGTGAGTATTTTATTAATTATTAATTATTATTAATTATTGTAATTATTGTAATTATTGTAATTATTGTAATTATCTGTTATTTTAATTATTATTATTATTGCAATTATTATTATTTAATTTTTTAATACATTTTAACAAGAAATAAAAAAAAAATTTTTTTTTAAAAAAAAAGATTCTATAATATTAAAAATTCGAATCAAAAGGAAAAAATAAATATGTTACAACCAAAAAAAAATTCATGAAAATGAAATCAAATAAAATCAAATAAAAGTATAATGATAAAAAGTACGATAATAAAAAGTATAGTAAAATAAAATAAAAGTATAATAATAAAAGCATGATAATTAATTAATTGACTACAGTTAATCTCCTTTTCGGTATAGTCATTACCACCACTTCTCTATTAGTAATTTCTTTTTCAAGTTCAGCTTGTTCATCTGCTTCTTCAACGTTACCCATAATATTATTTCTTGAATATTGTCCTCCTCCTATTCCTCCATGAGATTGATTACTTCTAATTGATATTCTTCTTCTATTATCATCATCATCTACTCTTAATCCACTTCCACCACCTCCACTTCTACCCTCTTCATTATCATCATCAATTTTACTCGTTTTACCAGAAATTTTTGTCATAATTTTAACTAATAAACTATTTTTACCTCTGGGATATCCAACCCAAGCAAATGAAATCCAACTTGTATATATTAAAATTATAAAAATAATAAATAACCAAGGAAATAATTTATTTATTATACTTGATTTAAATAAATAAAATATTAAATATATTCCCATTGATAATAATATAATTTGAAATAGAATATTATATGTATGAGTAACTATAGCAAGTGAATTTTCATTTTGATTCCTTATATTATTATTATTATTATTATTGTTGCTGTTATTATTATTATTATTATTATTACTATTATTATTATTATTATTATTATTGTTATTGTTATGGTTATAAGTTGAAGTTGAATCTAATCGTCGATGTGATGAAGAAGCTCGATTTGAACTATTATAACTATTATAACTATTATAACTATTATGATTATGATGATGATTATTATTATTATTATTATTATTATTATTATTATTATAATCTGTTACACTCTTCCGTCTTTCTAACCATGAACTATTACTGTTACGATTATTATTACTATTATTATTATCATTATCATTATTATTATTACTACTATCAATAATTTTAGTAATTCCAGAAGCTCGATTTACTTCAAAACTATATTCTGGTTTTTTACGTTGAAATAAGGAAATACAAAAACTTTTTCCTTCATTACCTTTTGAATTATTATTATTATTATTATTGTCGTGATTGTTGTCGTTGTTGTTACTACTTTGGTTATCTTTTTCTGATAACAAAATTACTTGTGATGATCTAAAGATTCGATTTATTATTAATGAAAAAATTGCAAATATAGGAATTATTAAATATAATAATATTAATAATATAAATCCCAACTTTCCATGAATAGTTGAGAAATGAGGAAAATCCTTATCATTACAATATTTATAAATTATCGCAAATCCACAAATAGCTGTAACGTAAGATGATAATATTAAAATTCCATAAATAATTCTTATCCAAGTAATTTTTGATCCAAATCTTAAGATTGTTGAGGCAATCGGTAAAAATATGAAACTGACAATTGATAAGATTATGTGAAGTTTAGGTATTGAATTATTATTATATTCAAAACCAGAATTTTCATCATGATTTTTCTCATGTTCATCTTTAATACATTTTAAAAAATCAATCGGTTTCATATTTGATGCGGGATTATTTTTTGATGTGGGATTATTATGTAATCGAAGTATCCATAAATCATTAAATGAACTGGTTTCACCATCTAATCCTTCTCCACCAAACATTAAGATATCAAAAACATCTGAATCATTTTGATCATCATTAGTTACTTTTCTACCCGCGGCTACCATTTGAGCTCCGGATCGTGTTTTAGGTAATGGACCTCCATCTCCTTTGGGAATTATTCTTACCCATGATCCCTAATAATATTATAATAATAATAATAATATTTTTAATTTTAATTTAATTGATGATAATATTAATAATAATAATTAAATAATAATTAATTAAATAATAATTAATTAATTAATAAATATATGTACCGAACTAGCATCCATAACTCCAACTTCTCCATCTACTCCAACCGATTTACCTTTTGATGTTTTACCTCCAAATACAATGGCTTGTGAAGCAAATGATACACCTGTAATTCCATTCATTACCATTGCGGCTCCAACTCTTTGACCTAAACAAGTACTTGCAGAACTCCAAATTGATGATGATGTCATTATTCCTGGATTCGTATTATATCCAGCAGCTAATTGTAAAGAGGATGCATTTGATATCGCACAATTTTTATTAAGTTTATCACACCCTCCATACATTACGATCCGACCTCCAGGTAAAACTGTTCCCGCCACTTCATTCCTTCCTTTGGGGATTTCACCTCCGATCGGAACTTTATACCATACAGATGAGATATTATTTCCATTGGTTGACAAACTTCCTTGAAATACTTGAGCCCATAAATCCGTATTAAACGTTTTACCATCCGTACCATGAGAAATCCACATGATGGTAGAAGGGTTCGTGTTACTTCCCGTTTGAACCGTTGTATCAATTCCTCCGACGGCCGAATATAATTGAGGGACTGTACCATTCGTTGATATCACATTGGTAATTTGGGTCCAGGTATTATAATTTATATCAAATGCCCAAGTATCATTAAAGATCACATTCGAATCCCCTTGTCCACCAGAAATTACAAAATTATTTCGATATGATCCCCAAACATCCATTCCGTATATCATATTGGATCGGGCTTGAGGTCCTGTACCTGATTGTGTTGACCATTGTAAAGTATTTAAATCTGCTAAAAATGTTTGTTTAGATTTAATTCCCTCTGCCGTACTGTTATAATTAATTAATTAAATTGATCAATAATAATAATAATAATAATAATAAATGATAAATGATAAATAATGGATAAATAATAATAAATAAATAAATAAATAAATAAATAAATAAATTATTACTCACGTTCCTCCAAAAATAATTAACGTATTTTTATCTTTACCATAACCTATAGCAAAATCTTTTACACCCGTAGGTGGAGTTCCGGTTAAATCTAATTTTATCCATTCCATAACGGGAAATGTCAAAGTTGGATTTGAATCAATATTGGAATCATCACCAAATGTTTGGGTGATAAAGAATGAAAAGTATAATGATAATAATATGAATAATATTTTATTATTATTCCTCATATAATTATGATTATGATTATAATTATTATTTAAAGTCCATATTTCTATTACTTTTTTTGATGTTTGTCTTCCCATTTTAATCAATTGAATATAATATAATTGATTAAATTATTGAATACTAAATCTGATTGATTAATTGATTGATTTTTTAAAGTCGTGAATATATACTATTAATAATATCAATGAAAGAAGGAAAAAAAAAAAAAGGGGGTGAAAGAATATTAAAAACCGAAATATATTTTTTTAAAAGGTGGAGAAAAGAAGGAAAGAAGAAGTGAGAGGAGAGAGGAAAAGAAAGAGGGAAAGGGAAAGGGAGAGAGAGAAGGGAGAGAGAGAAAGGAGAGAGAAGAGAATGAGAATGAAGAAAATACAAAAATGTAATATGCAATAAATAATATACAAATGTTAAAATGTTAAGTAATAAGAAGAATAATAATGATAATGACAATATTTTAATTATGCTTTATTTTTTATTAACATGAAACCTTTCAAAGGTCAATAATATAAAAAGATACACTTATGAAGAGAGATATAGAATAAGAATAATAATGTGATTATTAATAAATGTATTCATTTGGTGAACAAACAACATTAATAAAAGAAATAGTTCTAAAGGTGATGTTTAACACTACACAAGCCTTTTTTTTTTTAAAAAAAAAAAATAAAAATAATAATAATAATGATAATGATAATAATAATAAGTTCCTTTAGATAAAGTCGGATAAAAAGGTTATAATAATGACTAATAATAACTTGAAATAAATAATTAACAATTATAGCGTGTAAATAAAAATCGTGACATCAATAATAATAAAAAAAATTTTCTTTTAATTAATTAAAAAGAACTTTCTAAAGCGTTACACTTTCTTTTTCTATATTATTCTTTGTAATGCATCTTTTTTCTGAATATAAATAAAAAAAGTTTTATTATAAATATACTTATATATGAATATGATGTACATAAATGAACATACATTGAATTGGTTAATCTAACATTATTCCAATTTGGGAATATCCGATTTATTTTGGGCGAATTGGCTTAAACCTTTTCTTTTTTTCATTATTTCTTCGTCGTCGTCGTCATCATTCATCTTCGAATTTTCGAATCATCAAATCTTTTTTTTTTTGATAATGATCTTGACAAATTGCATACTTGGTATCACATTAATATTTACACGATGATGATTATTGTAAGTTCGATATACATGATATGCATCGTAATTCACAAAAAACGCTAACCTTGAACTCTTTAATTAAATTTAAATTTAATTAATTAATTTATTATTATCAATATTATTATTAATATTATTATTTTATTATTATTATTATTATTATTATTATTATAATTATTATTATAATTATTATTATAATCATGAGAAAGATAAGATATAATAATGATAATAATAATATGAAGATGGCGATATACAAGATACTGTACGCGTTGTTACATAATTCATTGTGAAATTAATTTGTAATTAATAATTGTTGTTGTTGTTGTGACAATAATGACACCTCTTTACATTTTTGTTCTTCATTTTATATACCAAATTAGAATTCTAATGGTTTTTCTAATTGAATTTAGGTTTCTTTCTCTTTTTCCTTACCCCCTTTTTTTTGTAATATAACAAGTATGACATCAAAGTTATTATCATTTTTTATTTTTATTTTTGTCATTAATATATATACGTTGTTGTTGTTGTTTTTGTGTGTGAGTGAATGAATAATTGAGAATTGAAAGAAAAAAAAAGAAAAGAAAGATGATTTAAAAAAAAAATTCATTAATTTTATTTTATAACTAAAAATATTTGAATTAACTTAATTTGTATCATTAGTTAATTTAAGTTTATCTTTATATGTATAAGCTAATTATACACAACATTAATTCAATAATTATAATTTCTATTTTTGGCTAATCAAAATTTAAAAATATTTATGGGTTGTTTGTTTTACAAAATTTAAAATAAATAAATTAAATAATGAATGAAATAATGAATGCAATAATGAATTTAATTCAACTAATATATTTTTTGAATAATTAATGAATGCAATTTAAAAATGTTTATTATTATATATGTGTATATATATATTTTTTAAATGGTACATTTTTAATGGTACATAATAATAATGTTGTATATATTGCAAAAAAATAAAAAATAAAAAATATGAGATACAATAGATAAATTATATTAAAGAAATTTGGATTCTATAATAAATAAATAAATAAAATTGAATCAAAAAAAGTGAATCAAAAAAATTGAATCAAAGAATTGAATCAAGAAAATGAAAAAAAAATTTCAAAAAAAAAAAAATCAGAAACAGAACTGAATAAATGAATTAAAATAAAACTTGAATGAATAATGACAAAAAAATTAACAATTAAAATAAAAATTGTTTTGTACATGAATTTATTTTAATGATAGAAATACAAAAATTATAACAGAGAAAAAAAAAAGAAAAAAAACTTTTGAAATAAATGTAAATATATTTAAAGAATTATGATGAATAAATAAAATGTGAATAAAGTGTCCGAATAAAGTTCCTGAATAAAGAGTGCCTGAATAAAATTTGAATAAAGTTCTGAATGAAATGTCTGAATAAAGTGCCTGAATAAAGTTCGAATAAGAGAAATCAACAACAATAACAACATCCAGAACCTTTCCCGCCACTTTTTCCTACCTTACATAACATTCCACATACTTGTGTGGCTGCCATTATTAATCCCGTTACTAAAATTCCTATTCCACCATAATATAAAGCTTTATATGTTCCTTGAGTACATATAGAATTACAATGTTGAGCTTCGTTATTTATTGTTGAATCAACTTTATCATTATTAGTCGTGATAGATGGATCACATAATGGTCCACATTTGGATGGTAAAACTTTTGCATAAGCCAGTAATCCTATACCAACTAACATAAAGAATATTGCCATAATCAAAATGCATAATGTCCAGGTACATCGTAAACATCCACAAGTCGAACAACAATCAGCTAAATCACAATCATCATTTCTACCTTGCTTACGTGGATGTCTTCTTCCACCAGTTTTTACCATTATGGGAGCCTCATAAGAAGCAGGTGGACGTGGTTCGTTTGGTGAATAATTTTTAGGAGGTCTCGGTTTATCATGTTTATCATCCGAATTTGATAATTTCAATTTTGGTGGTGAATGTGGTGGAGGTGGTGAATATTGTGGTGGAGGTGAATGTTGTGGCGGAGGTGAATGTTGTGGAGGTGGATGTGAATGCTGTGGAGGTAATCTCGGTGAAGGCGATGAATGTGAATGAGAAGGAGAATGGAGAGAGTGCATTGGTGAATGGGGAGAGTGCAATGGAGAATGTTGTGGAGAATGTAATGAATGTAGTGAATGAGGTGAATGAGGTGAATGAGGAGGTGCATGGGAATAAGATTGAGAAGAAGCAGACGAAGATGAAGAATTATTATATCTATGTGTTGGTTGTAATTTATCAAGATGATGATTATTATTATTATTATAAGGAATAGATAGTTGTTTCTGAGGAGATATCGAAAGTTCAGGCTTAATTATTGAAGAAGGTGGTTCTGGTGGAATAACAGGTATTGAAGGTATTGAAGGTTCTGGCATAGCTAATATCTGTTTATTATTATTTTTAGGAAGAGGAGAAGGAAGATTAGTAGTAGTGGGAGTTGTAGGTGGGAAATTATTATTAGAATATAGATTTGATGGTGATGGTGGTGGATGATAATGAGGTCTCGGAGATGTTGGTGTTCGGTTGTTGGGTGACGGAGGATTTCGTTGAGTTAAATTTAACGGAGGAGGAAGATTTGGTGAATTATTCATAGGTCCATTAGGTCTAATATTATTATGATGATTATTATTATTATTATTATTATTATTATTATTATTGTCTATTGGGGGATAAATATTTTGTCTTCCCGGCGAGGGTGGCTGTTGACACCCTTCTCTTGAAACATTGTTATGATTATTATTAAAAGTTTGTGGATATGAAGACATTTTTGTTATTTGCCTTTTTTTCCGAGGATATTCTAAAAAAAAAAGATTATATCTTATATATATTTATCGTCAGAAAGAGCATTTAAAAAAGAAATTTTAAAGAATGTAAAATAATGGACTTTTTGGTTAAAGTGTATTAAAATGATAAGTTTTCTAGGATTCCGTTGTTCATACAGATATAGCTATCCGCGCACGACTATCTTTCACAAGGTTAATTCTGTACAATATTTCCTATTGGACAAATAAAATTAATCGCATGAAAGTTGACCATAAACGTTTCTTCAATCATGTACATTTGTTTTGGGAATTTGCATGATTCATGTATTTCATGTGATATATTTTCACGTGAACAAGATATATTTTATATATGTATTATTTAAAAAAAAGTATTTAATTACCTTGTTATTAAATTAAATAATTTTGATAGACCACTTGGCATTAGCATATTCAAATTGTACAACTTTAATAATTCTACTTTAATTTAATTTTTTCTCGGCATTCATTCCTCTTCCTCCTTCTCCTTCTCCATATCTTCTCATCCCTTCTAATTTACATGTTTTCTATTCCCATGTCTACAACCAACACGTGGAGATGCATAGGTATCAGATTGTATTACCACCTCCTGTTTATTTTTTTCTTTTATAATTGATGACATGGAAAATAGAAGAAATTTATGTCAAAAGCAGAAGAATTTGGGAAAACAAAATGTTCATAGCAAAACATTTAGTTGGAGTGGATGGATTCATAAGAAGTTAATATATTGATATGTGTAATGCTATTGTGATTTTTACTAGTTATCTAACTATAACAATTGATATCCTTCCGCAAATTATTATATTATTTTTCAACAAAAACATTAATATCATACAGTATTAGTGACTGTCGCATGATAAAGAATCGGTTAGTTTAATTAGTTTGGGTTAGTTTGGTTGTTAAAAATTCGGATTCTTCCTATATATCTTGGGCTTCATGCAAGCGATGGTACAAAACGGCATGCGGCGAAAAAAAAAAAAACTTTAAACCGATCAACTTTAGACTTTTTATTTTGGATATAATTTTGGATATATTATTTGTATTTTTATTCTTATTTATTTACGCACGGTTTTGGAAATAAGGGTTTTGTATTACAAAAAAAAATGGCGGTAAAATTCTATTCTAAAATGTAAAAAAAGGGATAAACAAGATAAAATCAAAAGATAAATATAAGAAAATAAATACAATAGAATTCAGGCTAACATATTGCCCCTTGTTTAGTAAGTTATTTACATTCTAACCATTAAAGAAAAATAAGTCAGAAAACGAAAATAAAATTTACATAATTTATACATAATTCTGTTGCCAGAATGATTTTTTTTTTAATAGAAATATTTAGAAATACTGTATTTTAAAAAAATTTTTTTTTTCTTTTTTTAAAATATGAAATAATTTGATAATTCACTTCACTTCCAAAAATATTTTCGTTTTGGCTTTTTCTGAGAATCATCATCATCATCATCATCACATGCATCACTATTCAATGAAATTACATTTACTACATGATTCATTTCTAAATCATTTTCATCCTTCACCACAATACTTTTTCCCTTTTGACTTAAGTTTAATGTTAACCTTTTGGTCATTGGTTCAATCTGTAACGTTGATACTTTATATCTCTGAGTTGATCTTGCAGAATTAAGACGGGTTTCGCGTGTTTGAGTAGGAGTTGTTGGTGGAGTTGGTGGTGGAGTTGATGGAGGTGGTGAAGGTGAAGGTGGAAGATCATTTTGTGATAAACCAGCTTCAGCGGCTATAGCCGAAGCAAGTGATTTTTGAAATTTTTTTCGTCGATGTCGAACATAAATGCAACCAATGATAGTAATGAGTATTATAAAGAAAATTGTTAATGAGATAGTTATTGGGATTTTCTCATTAAATGAACTTGGAATTTGAGTGTGAGTGGGAGTGGGAGATTCATTTATTGTTGTAGGTAATGATGATAATGATGATGATGATGATGGTGATGATGGTGATGATGATAGTGTGGTTGTAAATGAAGTGTTAACTGTAAAAAATAAAAACAATAATAAAAAAAAAATAGAAAAATGTTAGATTCTCTGTAAATATTAAATAAATAAATGTATATATATATATGCTATGAATTAATACATACTTGAATCACTTGAATCACTAGAATTGGTTGGTGTAGTTGGTGTAGTTTCAATTGCCGACCTCGTCTCAAAGTCCGGCGATGCCGATTTTGATGTCATCAGCTCTTGTTTATTACGGTTATTATTATTATATTTGCTATCGATGCACTAAAGAAAAATCAATGCTACGGAATCATGAATAAGATATAAACTTTTGAAAGAGAGAACAAAAAATAAAGTGGGTTCAAATGAACGAATGTTTTATTCCAGTTATATATATATATTTTTGTTTCAAATATAATATATTATAAAACTGAAAAAAAAAAAAGAAAAAAAATGAAAACTATGAAGACTATGAAACTGAAAAAAGTGAAAAAAAGATAAGTATAAATAAATTTTTTGTTCAGGAAGATCATACTGATTGTAAATATATTATTGATTAATAATGTATAATAATGTAATGTACAATTTAATCGTAAAATTGTAATTTATCCTTTCTGTCCAAGTTTATTCTACAATTAATTTATACAATTATATTGAAAATTGAAAATATTTGTTTACCAAGTGATGCACATCCTTTGCATCCTTTGTTTTATCTAATACAGGTTAATTCTATATATATATATATAATATATATATAGCATTTATTTATTTAAAATCTATTTTAACTTTAATATATTCATATATATCGTAAGAAACGTATATCTTATAGCTAAAAAAAACCATTTATTATACACTGTTTACCATATTTATTTATTAAGAGCAAAGTATGTCAAATATCACACACAAGAATTCACTTAATTTAAAAATAAATTATTTATTTTTTATCAAAAATTTTGTTGAGTAAATATTTTTTATTACAATTCTTTACTCATTATTAGTCTTTGCTTTATATTGTTTGCATTTGCATTATTCGGTTTGAAAAATTACTTCTTTTAAATAATAATAAGAAAAAAGTATTCAACCTATTTTCTTCATTGCATTTTTATTTTTTAATTGCATTTTTTTTTTATTTTTTTTATTTGCATTTGCACTTTATTACTGGTTGCTTTTATCGCGCGTGCGCATTACACACATTATCTCTCTATTGTCTAAATCATACTATATATTATTGTAATTATTGTAATTATTGTAATTATTTTTGTGATGTCTTGGAATGCTTGTGATGTTTCTTTTAATTTAAAATTTAATATAATATAAATGAAGTTTTAATATAATTAATTATACAGTATAAGCAAAAATATTGAGTGTTAATTGATGTTACATTCATTAAATGCTTTTTTGTCCATTTCCGCAGCTCCCGTTTATTGAATAAAAAGGGATTTCCTTTTTTTTTTTATTTTGATTTCGATCATTCGGTGAAAATTTCCGAAGATTGGTTAATAGTACGATTTTATATTTTAACTCTTATTTACGAATTCAGAATTATATACAAAATTCTAAAGATCCTCGACGCCTTCGTTATTATTTTTGTTGTTCTCCCCTGAATTTTAAATATCAAAAAAAAAAATTGAATTAGTAATATTTATTCCCCACATAGAGTATCGTACCATTTATTAAGGTAATACATGATCATTTCAAAACTTGAATTTAATAAAATAAATTCTCTAAATATAGAATTTATACTAAATTAGGACATTCTTTAAAGGGATTATTCTCGTCTCTGAACAATCTTTTTTTAATTTATTATTTTTCCTGAAAGTTTTATTTTTTTTTGTAACTCTTTTTATCGCTCTAGGAATTCTATTCAATTTACATTTACTAATTTACAAGAAATTATAAAGAACACAAAATTTGGTGATATTAATTAATTTAATTAATTTTGATCGGGATGTTCAAAAATTACGTACTGGCAATATTATACTAACACTAAAAGAACGCATGAATCTCACAATATCTTTTTATATACATTCATATAAACACAAATCTTCGAATGTCACTCAATGAATGTTTATTATATTTTTCCCTTTTTTTTTTTATTTATTAAAGTTAATAACAAACATTACTTTGAAAATATAAATAAATTCACATATTTTTGTACTTGTATATCCTTTCTTAATAAGAAATGGATGATTTTTCTGGTTCACAAAACTTCAAATAATTAAAAAAAAAAAAAATCTTTTTTTAAATGATTAAATTAGCCACTTTGTAACGGAAATTTTAATGAATTTTTTACGTTAGTATTATTTTTTTTCTTCCAAGCAATTGATTGTTTCAACAGACAGAACCTTTTGTTGTGCTAAAAATATTTTTTTGTTTCTATAATAGAAACAAATTTGTGTTACAAAAAATGACTTGTTTTACGATATCGTGTGTTAAATTACGCTAAATTTTACGCCTATAATTAAAAAATCAAATTAAATCAAATTAAATCAAATTATGGAAATATTATCTAGATTCCGTAATTACTAGGCGAAGAATTAATTTTCTAAACTTTGTATTTTTCTCTTTGCTTCTCCAAATTCAACTTAAATGAATTTGAATGAATTAACCGCCACATTCCTAAATTTAGATTTATTATCGTATCGATATGTTAAATTCAGGTGAAGATTTATTTTCAATTATCTTTTTTCTTTATTTTCTTATTCTCTTTACTTCCTTTACTTCCATAATAATCGCATCAATCTTATCTCTCGTATATATCTTTATATATTAAGAGAACAATACCTTTTTTCCACCACTAAGCTTTTTTCTCCTTTATTTCTTTATTTTTTATCCTTATTTATTATTTGTAAATAATAAATAATCAAGTTAGAAATGGACTATTATTATCTTTCTTTCTCTTAATTTGATCTAAATATATTTTCTATTTTACATTGAAGAAATTTATTATTATTTTCCAATTAAAATTGTTACCGCGAGATTACTACCATTCACAATTTCATCAAAATTTCCTTTAAAATTTTATTTTGCTCTCGCGAATAACGAATTAATAATGTTACGGATTACATCACTGTGATCTTAATATTGAATATATATTTTTTCGTATCTCATCTATTAAACTGTTAACTTTAAAAATACACGATAATTGGGCACAAAAACTGAAAAGATGTTGACTTACCATTTTAGTCTTATCCTAAGAACTTCATTAAAACCCGTCCACGACAATTTCTGTGTGTCACATCATTAAAGATTTTCTATGGAAGAAATTTATGTATTATTTACGATAATAACCAACTAATATATCAAAACTTTACAAAATAAATATAAAAAAATAGTTTCATTTTTAAAATCTTATGATTATATAACTAATGAGCATCAAATTCGTTTAATAAAATTATATTGTTAATCATAAATCGATCGCTCAAGCAGCCCGAAAAAAAGCTAGACATCTTACAAATTCAAAAAGGAAATATTAACATTAACAAAGTTTTATTGTCAATATTTCTTTTTTTTTTGAATTTGGAAGGCATGTATGACTTTGTTACAAAGGAATTATATGACATTTATACACGCAAAATGTATTTGAAAACGCTAAAAATTTCATACAAACAAGATGTATTTTTATCTTTTTTTTTTTTTGACAAAGAAAAAAATATTTAGTCCGTGCTTACAAATAAATTTACACTTATAATCAATTTATTAAAAATTTATGTTCATCAAAAATGATTTACCAGGGTCAATATTTAATAAAGTTCTAAAATTATTTAATTCTATTTTTTGTTCTATACCTTAAAATAATAAAATATTATAAATTATAATAAAAATTACAGGATGAAACTAAATTATTCCCCCATGCAAAAAATGTTCTACACATATTTGGATAATAATAATGATCGACAAGTGAACTTTAAAGGGGATACCACAAATTTTATTACATACTTAAAAAGCCAGAATTCTAAAAAGAAATTAGTCTAGACTCGAAATTCTTCGAAATGTTATAGGAGAATAAAGAGAGTAATAGTCAATAACTACAGATGAATAAATTTATGAAAAAAAATAATATATGATTTTATGACGCGTTACGTTTGATTTTTTTTTTTTAAAAAAAAAAATAAAAATCATGAGTCAAGTATCTATTTAATATTTTTTACTATGCATAAATACAAGGTTGACAACTTCAAATAAGAAGTTCATACTTTACAATTTATTAAAAAAAAATTCATGAGCATTTTATATATGAAAATATAACAATTATTTTATTGAATTATGTCGTCTTATTGGAAGATCTTTTGAAGACGTTACACAAAGTAATTGTAATAAATTATTAATTACTACTAACGAAAAAAAATTCTTTATTAAATTAATTGTAACATTACAACGTAAAGTTCCTAGAAGATGAAACTTTAAGAGTAGAATATATCTTTTACTATTATTATTTATTTATTTTTTTTTTTTTTTACAATTTTACAATTTGAATTATTAGTAATTGAATCTAGATAGTTTTAATTTAAAGCATATACTGAAACTTATACCCCGCAAGTTTTATACTTTGTATTTTTCGTATTATGTATTTTTTGCAGATACTTGATGTCGTACAATAAATTTTAATAAATTAATTCGTTATTTAAAATTTTCTGTCTGTTTTTTAAAAACTTATTAAATTTATTTAAGATTTCATAAAAAAATAGTATTATTCCAACCTTAAACTCATTTGATATTTATAGGATAATCTTAAGGAAGAACTATTTTGTTATTTTGATTTATAAAAAACGGAAAATTTTGAATAAATCACAGAAATTTTAAATTTTAAATTTTAAACCAAAAAAAAAAAGTTACTTTGATTTATAAAAAAAACGGAAAATTTTGAATAAATCACAAAAAATTTTAAACCAAAAAAAAAAATATTAACAACAAAATACAAAATATACTAAACTAAAATAAATCATTATAAGGAACTTTCTTAGAATTAAAAAAAATGAATAGTTCATCACCTTGGAGAAAAGGAATTTATTCAACACTTGGAATCTTAACATTTATTTATTTCACAACAACTTCAATATTATTTTACAAAAGAAGAAATAAAATACCAGACATTCAATTTCGTCCATTACGATTAAGTTTAATAAATGCCTTTGCTACAACCTTGCTATGCTTGATGATTTGTTTTCATTCCGCATTTGGTCCAAAAGAATTCCCTTGCCTTTTCGTATATTGGATATCATCCATAGGTAATATCATAGTTCATGTCTCTGTAACTTGTAGAGCAATTGCATTCGTCTGGGTGGCAAAATATAATTTTGAAAAATTAAGGATGAACATATCATATCTATCTTTACCCCAAACTCCAATAACTCCTGGTTTTAATGGGATGAATAGATTAAAGAAATTTGAACCTTATGTAACGGATGATTGGTTAACAACATGGATCGTTTGTCCAGCTCTTATTGTTGGTATTATTATAGCGTTCATTATACAGATTTTTTCGTTAGACTATAAAATTAATCCAAAATTTTGTCCAATTGGACTTGGGTATTTATTATTTTAAAGAATTTTCTTTGATCAAAATCATTTAATTTTAATTATACCAACTCACGTGATTTTATTTTTTTTTTAATTTTTATTTAAGGCATATCCCACTTTTCATAATTATAGGGACATTTATTCTCATAATATTTCCATTTATTTATTACCATTTATATAACATTAAAGACGCTTACGGTTTACGAAAAGAGATCTTGATATTAATGATTGGTGGTCCTTTAGGGACAATAGTTTATTTTATTTGGGAATTCACATTTCCAGAATTGTATGATATTTTAGCAGGTTTCATATTCGCTTGGTTATCTTTAGTGTTAGGTCATACTTTATCTATAACCTATCCTGTATGGAAATCCTACAAGGAACCATTGAATGCGTATAATTCATCAACAACTTCATTAAATCAAGAAGATATTCCCAAATCTACTGAAAAAAGTAACTTAAAATCAAAGAAATATGAATCATTTGAAAAAGTTTTATCAGACTCAGAACTATTTGAATGCTATAAAAGTAAATCCCATTTTGAATTTCATTTCTTTATTCAAATTTATTATTAAATATAAAACTTACATCCTTTTTTTTTTTTGCTAATCTAGGATGCGCAGCTGCCTGTTTTTGTACAGAACTTGTTCTTTTCTTACAAGAATATCAATACCTAAAATTCCTAGTTATTCGTTGTTGTACTCCTTCGAATAATAATGAATTGTCATTACCACAAACACCAAAGTTTACCGTCAGGGAAAATGGTCACATCTCATTTCCTGGATCAATAAAGTTTCTATCTGCCAATGGACCTTCTTTACCTCCATTTTCTCCAAGTTTTGTAACTGACACAACACCGTGCACGAAATCTATTACTGAAACAGTCACGGCGGCATCTTGGATACCTTTTCCATATGAATTAAAATTAGATTACAAGACATTTTATGATACATATTTAGATCCAAATTCTGATCTCGCCATAAATTTCTCGGGAAATTTATTGAATAAAATAAAGGAAATGATCAAAAAAGATCAATATGAATTATCAATGTATGAACAAGCTAGAGAAGATGTCTTAATGTTATTATATGTTAATACATTTGAAAAATTTTTGAAAATGGGTGGTACAGAAGTTAAAAATAAAATGGAAAAATTATAAAAATTATAAAAGGATTTTATTTATTATTGTGTAATTTAAATTATTTAATCCATATTATGTAAATTAATTATGTTTAGAGACAAATTTTTTTTTTTTTTATAAATAAAAATGTTTAAAATGGTAAACTTATCGAAAATTTATCTTTTTGCAAATATTAGAATATCGCGTGTGAATGAATGTACATAAAATTACTATCACAATAATGCACTAAGGATTATCATTGCTTTTTACATTGCTTTGCGTTAGCCATTCCTCAAATTTGTTGACATACCAACTCGTATCACCAAACGAATTTAGAAATTAGAAAAACATTATTCCATCATCGTACTGTAAAAAAATGAACACCAGAAAATTGTATCAAATCCTTTATTAGGAATTTCCTTGGTTTATAAAAAAATCCATAATTATACGACGCCACAATTTTTTTTTTTTTTTTTAAACATGGATTATCAATAACCCGCTTATTAACCAACATTGAAGTTTCATGGTGTTTTCTAGTTCTTTTATTACATCATTCAATAAAAATGTCATATTAGAGATGTTAATAAACCATTAATTTACAATTAAGGCAATATTCGCCACTCTATAATAATTGTGTTTTGGGATATGCAAAAGAAATATATAAATATGGCTGGTGTGGCTTCACTCTCAATCTTCACTTTCATCGTATAGAAAGTAATTAACATTAGCCACATTAAAAAGTCTAAAAAAATAAAAATGAGTCAACAATTTAACCAAACCAGTCAGGCTAGCTTCGTTTTCATTAATTCAAGTGACCCTAAGATTCCAAGTCAAGTAATCAACGATGTACCATTTATCAAACTTCCTTTTCCACCTACTATAAACCCACGCAATCTTATCTCTTTTCCCAAGGGAAGTAGTACTCCTTCTCGAGCTCCAAATGCTTTTATTATTTATCGTAAATTATTTATCCAAACTGCGAAAGATAATGGATATACTCTTCCAATGACAGTAATTTCTACTATGGCCTCTAAATCTTGGGAACGAGAACCTGAATTTGTTAAGTCAGAATATAAAAGAATTGCGAAAGATGCATTCAATTATCGTAGTGAAATTCATCCTAAACAAAAACAAGAACGCGGAGGAAAAAGGAAACAATGGAATATTGTCTCGTTCGATTGTTCTGATAAACAAAAATCTCACGAATCAACCGATAAATCTCAACAAGCATTAAGGACACCTCCACCTGAATTTTTTTCCGAATCACCAATCTTAGATTTAGATGAGTTAGATTTGTTTGCTGATTGGGCTAATTTTATTTATCCAAGTCCTGATTTAAATACTACTAGTCAATACAATTCTCCTGATTTAAATAATACTAGTCAATACAATTCTCCCGACTTAAATACTATTAGTCAATACAATTCACCTGATTTAAATACTGTTAGTCAATACAATTCTCCTGATTTAAATATTGTTAGTCAATTCAATTCTCCCGATTTAAGTATTACTTGTCAATTCGGTTCTCCTGATTTAAGTAAAACTAGTCAATTCAATTCTCCTGAAATAAATAAAATTAATGAAATGAATGATATGGAAATAAATGAATTGAATAAAATAAATGAATTGAATGATGAAGAATTTGAATTTATTAACTCTCTTTTGCAGACGGTTGATAACAATTCTTTAACACCAATTCAGCCCGAAGAATTTTCTAATTATCCAAAAATTAATAACGATATTACAGAAAATGATTTATTCAATGATTACGTTATTCCAGAATCCACCGAAAATCAATATAATAATGAAATTTTTAATACTACTTCTGATTCATCCGAATCTCAATTCACTTTCTCGTCCTTTGATTTATTGAACACAGAATTATTTCCCGAAGAATTGAATACAGTTACTTTTGATGATAATTCTTATTATTTCTAAATATTTACTCTAAGATTAATTTATTTAAGATTAATTCATTTGACCAATTTATAAACATTATAAGAATACCTTTTAAGGACAGACAGTTAAGATATTTATGTCAAAATTTAAATTATGAACTTTATTACCAAAAGAAAAAAAAAAAAAGTTTAAACATTTATGATTCAAAATTTTTATCTTAAGAACTTAAGCAAAACATTTATGCAAAAGAATTAATCAATTAAGTCATCAAAAATATATGTTATTAAATTATTTATTTTATTATGTAATAGAAACATTTGTATTATAGTTATATAGAATATGTATTATGAATACTTAAAATTGTACATTAGGATAGATTTTTATAAAAAAATATATAAATTTTATAATAAAAAATAAAAAAAATATGATATTATAAGTCTTGAGAGTAAAAAAAATGTTCTTTTGCTTTTGTAAAATATTTCATTATGAATAATACACAATGAATAATGAATTAAACAATAACAATCATGTATCTCTATTTAATCGATCAATCACTAAAATGATCAAATAATGAACACTAAATTAATTATATTATTGGATCAATCTATGATTACACAAATTTTGAAAAGTGTAAAAGTTACGACAGGAGATGTATCCATATTAAGAATTTCATTCGATTATATAGGATTCTAAAAAGAAAAATATAAATACACATGATTCTCCAAGTTTTGGTTTAATATAAATTACTAAAAGTTACTAGCGAGATCCTTTGAAACTATTCCAAATAACAAATTACTTATTTAATTAGTTTTTCATCCCTATTCTATCCGAACGATCCTTTTATCTATTACGCACCCAAAATGCTTTTATTAATAATTCATCTTATTCCCTAAAAAGAACGTACTTTCCCATCACAATAATCTGTATTAAAGAAATAGAATCTACTAAATTAGAATATAAAAGGATCTTGAAAACGATATATATTCAATTATTATAGTGTCCTAATAAATAATAATCGTGAAGAACGCGAAAAGAAAATCGATCAAATTTTGATAACTTCAATAATTATTTCACTTGAATTTTGAACCTGTGAAAACTCCAAAAATTTTTTAAATCGTAACTGTCTTGAATTTAGGTTTGTTTGCTGATTGAGCTAATTTCATTAATTCAAATTATCTAATTTGGGTAAATGAAATTAGCTCAATCAGCAAACAAACCTAAACTCAAGATAGATTAGATTTACGTGATATGCTTATTAAAAAAAAAACAAGAAAGGGAGAAGGGAGTTATCTGTTATATTTTTTGGTAGGATTTACCATTGCCAATAAACTAAATGTAGATCAATATAAATTTGGCCTTTTTTAAAAATAAAATATAATTCCCGCGCGCTAGTCAGAATAAATAGATCAAATAAATAGCTAAAAGAAAAATAATAAATAGATAGATAAATATTTTGTTTTTATAAAAATTTTTATAAAATTATGTCTGAACAATATCATTATTCATCACAGGTATAAAGTGATAATTTTATTGATTTTAATAATAATTTCATAATTTTGCAAATGTAATAAATTTCGTTGTAATAGGGTCAATATCCCCCTCCCCCTCCTCCTCAACAAGAATATTATCCACCTCAACCACAGCCACAACCACAAACTATAATAGTTCAACAAGCACCACCACCTAGTAATGATGATAAATTTTGTTTAGGATGGTAAACTTATATTTAACCTTTTTTTTTTGTCTTTTCTAAAAAAAATTACATTTATTGATATTATAAATTATAAACTTTGACAGTACTCTTGGACTTTGTTGCTGTTGTTGTCTAGAAGAATGTTGTTAAGCAAATATTTTTATAGGATTTTGGAATTTGCAACAGTATATCCTCCTCTATAGTCCCTATATACTCAATATTCTCTAGCTTATTGGTTTTGGGTGTAACTAATATAGAAAGATTTAAGAGATTTAATTGTCAATATAATTAATATAGCAAATTTTGAACATTTAAAAATTCACAAACTTTTTCATGTACTTGTACTATTCATAAATTGTTTCCACTTAATACAAAATCAAATTATAATTATAATAATATTGAGAAAATTCTACAGTTCTTTCTTCATATTGGCCCCAAGGAAATCCCACAGATGCATTAATATCTCTATCAATAGATAAATTACATCCTCCACACTTATTTTCTCTTAATTTCCTATGAATCCATCCATGCCAACTACAAGTATATCATGAACACTTGGTTTCCAAATTCTTCTGCTTTTGTTATATGTATATCCTTAAATCTTGCATATGTCATGTCATCATTTTATATACTGTTCTACTAATGACTCTTTTCCATTCCTCTTGCTTAGAATTCAATCGGAATTATCGAGTCAATGCATCAGATAAAAATATTAGCATCTCCATAATATGACCTTTTCTATCTATCATTATTGTAAAGATTTTTTTTCAGGTATAATAAAATATCTAAATCGATCCAGAATATTCAAGCGTAGTAAACATTGGAATCGATGATATATCTTCATAATAGTTACTGTATTCAATATCAGGCATTACATTTATTCATTTTTAATATCACTCAAAAAAGCGTATACATTTGTTTATGAAATTAGCTAAGTCCTCGGATAAATTATTATAAAGGATAAGGTAGAGATGTATACTGATGTTGCGAACCCTCACAATTATGTTTAGTCCAAATATTATGATGAAATTAATAAAATTTTGAAGTCCTTCTGAACGCCAGATATGATTAACTACAATAGAACTTAAGCAATATTCTGATTCTCTTTATTTTTAATTAATGTATTGTTGTAGAATATACATAATACATGTTTAAAAGTGGTGGCAATAGCACATTTTTTGATGTTCTCGAATTTTTACTGCTAGAAACAACCACAGAAATAAAATATAGGATTTCATTCATGAAATCAATTTCTTTTTTGAACTTGATAATCACAGACAATAATATTTTAGTTCCTATGAATTAATATATTTTTATTATTGATTAATTGTCGGATCTAACAGAATAAAAATGGGTCCTTTTACAAGAATTAACATCATCGTAAACTAATTAAATACTACAGTTTTGAATAGATAAATAATTAAATACTACAGTTTTGAATAGATAAATAATTAAATAAAAAAATAAATAAATAAATAAATCATAACAAGAACTTGACAAAACAAGTAAGCACGTATATATGATAAGAAAATCAAGAATATCACAAATTTTTATTATCCTTGCAATATTCTTCGAGTTGGCTTGCATTTAAATAATTTGCTAAAATTTTTATATCTTTCACGTTTGAACTGTTAACCATTCGAGAGAGCTTTAATTCCATGAGCTCTTTCAAATGATCTAATTCATAATCGTTTGCCAACGCAAGTAGTTCTCCGTATGGGTATGGTTCGAATTTTGATGTATGATTTGTTGTGTTCGGATGATTGTGAATTGCATCATCGATATTTTGGCCATATAAGTAATGTAACAAAATACGTATTGAGTCAGGAACATAATCAATATTGATTATACATTCTCCTGAAGTGAATTTCTCATTAAAAACATTAGAGCTCGCAGCAAGCACATTTTGACTTGCCCATATTTTCTCGCCTTTTACATTAAAAACAACATCATGAAAAGAGTTCACCTGATTGGATAAATTTTTTAGCAAAAATTCTTTATTAATGCTTGACTGATCATGTTCTCTAACTTGTATTTTGAAATTTGGTGCTTTTACTTCTTTGACATCAGCACTTTTTAACATTCCGTAATACTTTGCCAGGCGAGGATTTATATATTTATTCTCACTTGGTTCAACGTTCAAAACCAAATTGCTTGCAGAAACCCAGTTTTCAGTATCGAATGGATCTTGACTTTTACCAAAGTTAAGGAATAATGGTTCATCTTTAAAGTCTTTACTCAAATTCATCACTATTCCACTTGCAATTTTTTTAGATTCTTTACATTCTTTTTCAAGCCATTCATAAACCTCAAAAACGTTAGACACGAATGTTTCTTTCCAATCATTCCAATCATTTATCCATTCATCATCGATAATTTTATTGCGCAGGAATTTAAGATGTTTGATTACCGTGCGATCACTTGGTTTACCAAGTGATGGGTATTTATCAAGTACATCCTGAGGTGGTATGACATCTTCCGCGATTAAAGCCTTTTGACTCCATGCTACACCTTTATATTCGGGAAGGACTATATTCTTAAAGCAATCCAAAAATTGAGAATGATTATAATACTTTTTGTAAGGTTTGTCCAAAATTTTAGAAATTGGAACGAATGGAATCCTATCAATTAGTTCATAATTCATCACATTATAAAAATGATCGACCAATACGAAACCACGGTGACGTATATCAGGTGGTGGGTTCATCTCTTGCAATTCTTCGATTTCCAAAGCACATATTTTAAATGTCTCCGAATTTAATTTGTCATTGAATCCAATATTTAATAATTTGCTTTTATGTTTCACAAGATTAAAGTGAAGAAAAACATTTGAGTCTCCTCCGAATACAGTTCGAAAAACAATATCCTCATAATTGAATAGTTTAGAAATCGGCATCAGTTTATCAGTAAATGCATTGGGAAAGGGATAATTCTTTAAATCTTTAGTGATTTTACATCCATCTTCTGAAGTTGCATTCTCCAGAACGGAATCCAGAAAATCCACATATTCTTGATCATTTTTTTCAGGTAATTCAACATCAATAAATGCATAATCATGAATTTCATGATGGGTAGCGTTAAGATATTTCAAAATTTTATCGTCTACCTTATCAGTAGTGTTTAAAAAAAATTTTTTACTCTTTGTCCGATACATTTTAAATTCGTTGGGTAAAATATACCCAATTGAAACTGGAACAAAATTCAACGATTGATCTTCCATTAAAGGATTCGAGCGTACTGGCCAAATAGGTAATTTGCCGATCATTAATTTGAGGGATTCATTTTTCGCTCCTAAAAAAGCATATATATTGTTAGTTATTATTATGCTATGCTATTGAGATATCAAAATTTTAAATTTACAAGAAAGAAAAAAAATAATACTAACTAACTAATGAACTCCAATTAATTCGTAGTAATTTATAAAAATCTTTAATATTATCAATTGACAAGCACTTGAAGAGAATGTCTATATTGTTATTCTCATCAGAAAAATAGACTTTTTGAGAATGTTGATAAAAATGATCATCGGAGTTGATTAATTGAAAAAGGTTTTCAGATTGTATCATACATTGGAGTACTTTGCAACCATAGCTAAATACATACTTTGGATGGCTATGTGTAGAAAGCGGAAATGGCCAAAACTTTGAAATACAGTTTTTGAAATCAATTTTTTTATAATTTTGCAATTTAATGATTTCTTCCAAGAGTTTGCAATGAAGATCGGGAAGGAATTCAAGTAAGATATGTCTATTCCAATTAAGTTTCTGATGATCCATATCTGGCAAATCGTCTTTTTCAATCAACAATCTTGCCCGATCTGAACTTTGAGCCCAGGTTCCATTAAGATGAACAGACAAACATGTGGTTTCAGGAAGTGAAAAGGTTGAAAACAATCTTCCTTTAAAGTCATTCGGCTCTTCATTTTCTTGATAATTGGTTACAATAATTCGAGGGAAATGAGGATAATTAGGAAAATTCAGATCTTGAAATAGATTATTTCTGTTTTTATTATTTTTATTATACTTTTTGCTTTTAAGTAAAGCAGCGACACCTCCCAACACACGTAATCGATATTGTTCTGCATATTTTTGTAATTTAGGATCATCAGGGTTAGGTTGAGCACCAGTTGCAATAATCCATTGATCATGTTGTACGTTGTTCGAATAATCAATCAGTTCAATTTCCATCTGAAAAGTTCGAACATCTCCATTCACAATATGTTTTCTTTTACTTCGTATACCTTCATCCAATCCATTTACAGTTGCTTTCCAAAGGGAATCCATTTGAAAAGAAGATGTGGCAACAGATATACTTGACACTTTTGATACTTCAATTTCTTCAATATTCCGTAAAAATAAAAACTGGGAAGTGACATTTGAT